GGAGAGAAGTACCTTCTGTCAAACCTAGGAATTCTGAGGCTTTCTCAGGCCATCTGTGGATGTATATGCTCCATACTTATTCTTTCTTATACAGAATTCTTAACCGTGCCTAACTTTTGGAGTCTACATTGCCAAAGGCTGGGGGTGCTGACTGTCCTTCTTTTGCTTTCCTTGAGGTGGCCATAAAGCTCCAGTATTTTTTCTCTGTTGCCCTCATGTTTGGTCTGACTTTCTGTGCTTTCTCACTAGCCATCTGGTAAAGCTCACTCTTGCCACTACTGTAAGGAGCATATACAAGGAGCTGGACACAGGGTGAGGGTGAGTGTAGATGAGGTGTGCCAATGAGTCATTTGGTGGGATCTGTGACTGAAGTGTCCCCAGTGGTTCATGGGTGAGCTCTTGATGGAGTTTGTGATGCAGTAAGTATGATCCATCCTCTTTGAGTGCTTTCTGAGTACTATTGGCTGCCTTTTCCAGCCTCTTTCTACCCCGTTACACAGTTCAAATTCAGTACTCTTGATGGGTTAAGAGAAAAATGAGCAAGCCTCAGTGTTGCTTGTAGTGGGGGAAATTGAGTGTTTGCTCACTTACTCTCTGTTTCCCCAGCAGGAGACATCATAGGCCCAAAAAATCTTTCTTGGCCCTAAGTTGTGCTGGGGCCAAGTGAAGTCAGACTATTGTTTTTATCTTCTCCGGTGCATCCAATCTCTTTTTTCTTTTGCTCCAGTGGTGTTTTGGAACTTCTTTTCTGGAAACCTGGACTTACACAGAGGTCTCTTGTCTGAAGGTGTGATTGTTTAAGACAGTTTTTTCTAGGGGTCCTCAGGCTGTGACTGGGAGGGGCTGGAGCCAGTTGATGAACCAATACAGAGTCCACAGCCAGGGTTGAACTTGTATGGCTGTTACCTGATGCATGGGTAAGTGAACTTCTTGGCATATGGTGCTGGATCCCAAAGCTTCCACAAAGGCACTTTTGTCTGTGCTTAAATGCTGGGTTATTGTTCAGGATTGGGGGCACCAATGGTGTATGTCTTCTTCTTCAGCCATAATACTGATGTTACTCTTGCTTTAGTGTTGAGCTCCTTTGTTTTTAAGGTGTATTAAGTCAGATTTAGGGTTGCAGCTGGTCATGAGGTCTGTTCTGGGTAGCCTGAACACAATTCCATTGTTCTGTTGTATCTTTCCATTTGCTCAGCTGCCTTGTGTGTGTCTTAAATATTTATTTATCCATTCATTCATTCATTCATTCATTCATGAGAGACAGAGAGATTGGCAGAGACACAGGCAGAGAGGGAGAAGCATGGTCCCTGTAGGGATCCTGATATGGGACTCGGTCCCAGGACCCTGGGATCATGACCTGAGCCAAAGGCAGATGTTCAGCCACTGAGCCACCCAGGTGCTACCCCCACCTTATTTGTTTTTTAAAATAAAATAAAACTGATATGGTGCCCGGTAATTTTCTAGATAGACAAAAACAGGAAGAGGTAATACTCTGTAGAAAAAGAATAGGTGAAATAGAAGGAAAGAAAGACCACTTTGGGAATATGAAAGAATTGAAGGAATTCATGAAGTTTTCTCATATTTTTCATTTGGAAAATGTTTATTTTTAATTTTTAATTTAATTTTTTTTCCCCCGGAAGGGAGAAGTGCCTGATTTTGCCCCAGTGTGCTTGCTTGGTTGCTTTTTACCATTTTAACATTAGATCTCACTTGTTTAAATAATTTTTTTAATTCAAGTATAATTAACATACAGTATTATATTCATTTCAGATGTATAATATAATGATACAACAGTTGTATACACTACTTGGTACTCGTCCTGTTAAGTGTACTCTTGATCCCCTTTATCTATTTCACTGGTCTCACCTGGAAAACAGTTCCCTTTAATTTTCCTTCATCTTCCTGAAGGACAGTACACATTGCATTTCTATTGTGGATGATTGCTGTATTAAAAGTATTTTCTTAGGGCACCTGGGTGGCTCAGAGGTTTAAACGCCTGCCTTCAGCCCAGGGCATGATCCTGGAGTCCCAGGATCAAGTCCCACATCAGGCTCTCTGCATGGAGCCTGCTTCTCCCTGTTTGTGTCTCTGCCCCCCCCCTCTCTCTTTCTCTCTTTCTCTCTCTCTCTCTCTCTCTCTCTCTGTGTCTCTCATGAATAAACAAATAAAATCTTTAAAAAATAAATAAAAGTATTTTCTTGAGATATATTGGACAAATGGAGTAAAAGGGTATTTTATTACATGTGTTACAGTCTTCATTTTACTGATGTATCAGATAAATGTATTACAGACATAGCTCCTTAGTAGTTTCCGAGTCTTGGCTCTTTTCCTTATCTGTACTGATTAGAGGTCCTTCCCATATAAGCAAATAATTTTATACCACTTAATTTCCTTGCTATTTGAGTAAACATATGCTTTCATATATTAAGGATGTTGTGAGAGTCTCAGAAGTCCTAAGAATCTAATGATTAATAAGACTTTCAAAACTGTAGTAGCTGTGCTTCCACGTGATAAAGACCACAAAAAAGATTGTTTTGAAACTTTTTAAAGGAGGAATAAATTCATTTAGCAATTGTTATTACACTTATAAATAACTGTACTGGAGTGTTTGGGTAGCTCGTTCAGGTTAGCGGCTGACTCTTGATTTCAGCTTAGGTCGTGATCTTAGGGCTGTGAGATGAGCCTGTATTGGGCTCTGTGCTAGGTGGGGAGCTTGGTTAAGGTTCTCTCTCTCCCTCTGCCCTTCCCCACCTTGTACATGCACAGTCTCTCTCTCTCTCTTAAATAAAAATCTTAAAAAAAAAATAGATACTTGTACCTTTTGTTATAAATTTGAAGCTATGTTATCCTCTGTGTATGATATTTGAAAGTTGTAATTATTTGTACTAGAGTGTACAATTAAAGTAGAAATTTTAAACTGAAGATAATATGTCTGATAGGTGTGTGTGTGTGTGTATATATATATATGTCTTTCAAGCTAATAAGATAATGATACTTAAGTCCTAATTTATACATGTAGACATTTTGCATTTGGCATGTTAACTTTGAGTCCTTATTAATTTCAGTTATCATTTGTGAGTGGCTAATTCATAAGACCTTGCCTATAATTAATTAAGGTTTTTAAATTACAGTTAACATTTTTAGTTAGTATTGATAGAAATTCTTATGTAATTTTTAAGTTTGGCTTTTTGGTAATTAGCCTGCATTCTGTTATTTGGTTGGTAAGTTATTTACAATTTGTAAGGAAGGAAGGTCTATATAGTCAAAACATCTCCTTCTTAACTCCTTTTTTTCACTCATTTGCCATTTTTGGAGAAAACCAGTGTTACTTTTATTGTCTCTTAAGTTATTATTATTTTTAAAGATTTTATTTATTTATGAGAAACACACACACACACACACAGAGGCAGAGACATAGGCAGAGGGAGAAGCAGGCTCCATGCAGGGAGCCCGATGTGGGACTCAATCCCGGGTTTCCAGGATCATGCCCTGGGCCGAAGGCAGCGCTAAACCACTGAGCCACCCGGGCTGCCCTGTTGTCTCTTAGAGTTATAACGTGGGTTTGTTTTTTTTTGTTGTTGTTGTTGTTTGTTTGTTTTGTTGGGGGGATGATTTTCGAAACAAAGTATTTTAAAATTGAATTTTTAATGAATGTCTTTGAAATAGTTGAGACATTAAAGAACAGAATTAGCATGGTAAAAATTTTGGAAATGTAAATTTTAAAAGTATAAACTATGATATGTGGAAATGGCAGAAATAACATACAAGGCCTTTCTGCCTGTGCCATGTTCTCACCCATCTGGTAAGTGTTACTGTTATGGCTAGATCTGATTAGAAACTGAGCAGTGTGTTACTGCTGATGATTGTCAGTTACCCATTTGAAATACTTTTCTATTTATATATAAATACATATAATTTTGCTATTTTTCAGAGGTATTAAAAGATGTCTTAACAAGAATGTTATAAGGAATCCTTTTACACCTTGGGTAATTAAAGTTTTTACTGTGACGAGTTAGCTTTGGGGCTGTGGTTGATATCCAAGGGGAATGTATATCTATATATTGACCATCAGAGAAGAGTGCTCATCTTAGATATATTTGCTTTTTTGTTAGCCTAGCATTTTCCTCCTAAGGAACCTCTTTTGTCTTGGAGAAGAAGGAAAAAGATTGGGCTTAGTATTATCATAGAGCAATTTTTTAAAAATATTTTTTTTTTTTTATTTATGATAGTCACAGAGAGAGAGAGGCAGAGACACAGGCAGAGGGAGAAGTAGGCTCCATGCACCAGGAGCCCGATGTGGGATTCGATCCCGGGTCTCCAGGATCGCACCCTGGGCCAAAGGCAGGCGCCAAACCGCTGCGCCACCCAGGGATCCCCAATTTTTAAGCACTCTTTTACTACCAGTTTTGTTTTGTTTTCTAAAAGTGTAATTTCTTTGTCAGTGATCGGGATCTTTTAAATTTAGATTGGAGTGTAAATATTTCATCTTATCTGCCCAAGAGCACTCATAATTTATGGCAGTCTGTCATTGTGCTGCCCATTATGGTAGCCTCTAGTCGCATGTGGCTTTTAAAATGGAAATTAATTTAAATTTTAAGTGCTCAATAGTTACATGTGGTTAGTGGCTATTGCATTGGACAGCAAAGATAGAATATCTCTATCATTGTTGAAAGGTTTGTTATACAGCCTTGGCTTTAGTATATGTAATTAAGGTTTGGTAGCCTGGGTAGCTTAAAATTACCCTTACCCTGAAATCACTTCCTAATTTGCAAGGATTTGTGGTTTTATAAAAACTCAATAATTCAGGTTCAGATTACCCAGTTGGATATTAACTCTGTCTCTTCTGATATTTCTTTAAAGGTATTTCTTTAGTTATTTCTTGGTGATCATATTTCTGTTGATTTTACTTTTCTTATTAGCACATATGCATGAAAAATATGCTTTGTTCCATTTATCTTACAAAGGATAAAAGATATTATTTGTTGTCCCTTGTGTCTCAGGAAGCGAGAGGCTATTATGAACAGACTGGGGTTGGTCCATTGCCTGTTGTTCTGTTCAACGGAATGCCCTTTGAAAAGGAACAGTTAGATCCTGATGAGTTGGAAACCATCACAATGCACAAAATCCTGGAGACCACAACCTTCTTCCAAAGAGCAGTATACTTGGTGAGTGGTAATTCAAGGCTGATTTTGAAAGAGAATGGTTTTGCTTATGTTTTTGTAATCTCTGTAGTAAGCCATAACATTCTTTAAGTATTATTAGTTTTTATACATCAGTTGTAATATATATGTAAAAAAAGATATAATATATATATTTGCACATATACAGATATAATGAAAATATTCACAAGACTTTCTGTGAATTCTATTTGAAATAGCTAAGTTTATTGTTGTCAAGATTAAGTGTTTATTTAAAAAATTCTAAAGAACTTAGCATTTCCAATAGTCATTTGTTCTATTTGTAGGGGATTTTGACTTAGGAAAGGCTCACACATATATATATGTGTGTATATATACTTGTGTATATACAGTTATTGTTGAGATATAATTCACATGTCATAAAATTCAGTCTTTGAAGTGGACAATTCAGTGTATTTAGTGTGTACACAGAATTTATGCAACTATAACCTCTGTGAAATCTTAGAACATCATCATCACTCCCAAAGTCCAACACCCTGTAGCATTCACTCTGCATTTGCCTCTACCCTAAACTCTAGCAACTTCAAATCTATTTTCTTTCTGTATGGATTTGCCTATTTGAGACATTTAATATAAATGGAATCATATAATATGTGGTCTAGTGTGTGTGATTTCTTTCATGTGTAATATTTTCAAGGTTATTCCAGTTGGAGTATGTGTTAGTACTTTATTTCTTTTTATGGCCAAATAATAGTTCCTTGAGTGGATATAACACATCTTAAAAACCCACTCATCAGTTGATGCATATTTAGGTTTCCTCTCTGTGGCTACTTATGAATACAATCATGTACAAGTTTTTGTGTAGACATATGTTATTTGTCTTGTGTGTATACCTTGAAGTGAAATTGCCTGTTTAGTCTTTTCCAAAGTGGCTGTACCATTATACATTGCTACCAGCAATGTATGCAGGTTCTAATCTCCACATTCTAGCTGATACTTGATATTATCTGTTTCTTTGACTATAGCCTAGTTGGTATTAAGTAATATCTCATTATGGTTTTTACCTGTGTTACTCGAAAATGAATAATGTTGAAAATTGTTTCCTGTACTTATTGATCATTTATATCTTTTTTGGAGAAATGTCTATGTGTTTCATTGACTAACTTGTTTTGTTATTTTGAGTTCTCTATGTGTTCTGGGTAGTAATCCCTTATATATAGAATTTTCCAGTGTTTTTCTAATTTCATAGTTTGTCTTTTAAAGGACAGATGCTTTAAATATTGATTAAGTCCAATTTTACTTTTTTTGTTGCTTGTGCTATTTGTGCTGTATATGAGCTTATTCTAGGTCATGAAGATTGATACCTTTTATAGTTTTTTTTCTCTTAAACATTTAGTTCTTGGATGTATTTTCAGTTTTTGTATATGGTGTGAGGTAGGAGTCCACTTTTTTTTTTTTGTCGTCATATCCAGTTTGGCATGCAACTGGATGTCTTTTGGGATATGCAGTTGTCCTAGTACTGTTTATTGAAAAGAATGCTCTTCTCCCATTAAAGTGTCATGTCACTCTTGTAAAAAAATAAATTGACCATTAATATAAAGATTTATTTATGAACTGCCTATTTTCTATTCAGTTACATATTTGTTCTTATGTAAGTACTGCACGGTCTTTTTTTTTTTTTTAAGATTTTATTTATTTATTCATGAGAGACAGAGAGAGAGAGAGAGGCAGAGACAGGAAGAGGGAGAAGAGGCCCCGTGCAGGGGGCCTGACGTGGGACTCGATCCTGGGTCTCCAGGATCAGGCCCTGGGCCAAAGGCGGTGCTACACCGCTGAGCCACCCGGACTGTCCAGTACTGCACAGTCTTAATTGTAATTAAGTGTGAGTTTTCCAACTTTGGGTTTTTCTTTCTCTTTTTTAAAGATTGTTTGAACTATGTCATCTGCATTTTCACATGAATCTTAAACTTAACTTGTTAGTATTTGCAAAAAAAGGGCCGCTGGGATTTTGTAGTAATTGCATTGAATCTGTAGATCAATTAGGAGAGTAATTAACATCTTAGCAACATTGAGTTTCTAACCCATGAACCCAGGATGTGTTTCCATTTATTTAGGTCTTGTTATTTTTTCAGTGATGTTTTGTTTCCAATGAAGCATCCTTACTCTTCTTTCATTAAATTTATTGGCTAGTATTTTTTTTGATGCTATTATAAGTGGAATTATTTCCTTAATTTAATTTTTGGGTGGTTCATTGATAGTGAATAGAAATACAATTGATTTTTATATATTGATCTTAGATGCTGCAACCTTGTTGAACTTATTAGTCCTAAAGCCTTTTTTTTTTAAAAAAAAAAAAAGAATATTTATTCATGAGAGACACAGAGAGAGAGAGGCAGAGACACAGGCAGAGGGAGAAGCAGGCTCCATGCAGGGAACCTGATGTGGGACTTGATCCTGGATCCTGGGATCATGCCCTGAGCCAAAGGCAGACACTCAACCTCTGAGCCACCCAGGCGTCCCAGTTCTAAAGCTTTTTAAAAAAATTTCTATATAGAAAATGTTGTCATCTTACAGATGACAAAAACTTGCCATCTATGATTAGAGATAGTTTTGATTCTTCCAGTCAAATCAGGATATCTTTATCATTTATTTATTTATTTATTTATTTATTTATTTATTTATTTATTTATTTATTTATTTATAAGATTTTATTTATTTATTAGAGACACACACACAGACAGGCAGAGGAAGAAACAGATTCTATGCAGGGAGCCAGATGTGGGACTTGATCCCGGGTCTCCAGGATCAGGCCCTGGGCTGAAGGTGGCGCTAAATCGCTGAGCCCCCGGGCCGCCCTCATACCCTCTTTTGACTAGCTGTTAATCTTTCTGAGGATCCAGTCATATTTGAGAAATCATTGTCAAATCCAACGTCATGGTTTTCCCCAATGTTTTTTCCCAAAAGTTTTATAGTTTAGCTCTTATGTTTATGTCTTTGATCTATTTTGAGTTAATTTTTGTGTGTGGTGTGAGTATGTAAGGGCCCCACTTCATTCTTTTGTATATGGATATCCGGTTTTCCCAGCACCATTTGTTGAAAAGACCCAAAAAATATTTTTAAAAGCTACATATCATGCTGATAATCCTTTTATAAAACAAGCAAACAAGAAAACAAACCCCAAACAAAAAGTATTGACTAAATTCTATTGCATGCTCCCTCATGAATAAGGTAGTTTTGTTAAGTAATTTGTTCTTCATGGAGCTACTAGAACAAAATATGAAAATATAGGTTTTTTTTTTAAATGAGTTTCACTTATTTTCCAAAGTTAAGGATAGTCTAGAAGAAATGATAATTATTCTCTTTGTTTAAATAATATTAATGAAAAGATAAAAGATAATTCAAACATGTTGGTTTTCCAGCATCTGTTTAAACCATTTCTTTTTCAACATTGTTGGATGTAAAAATTCAGAAGAGTTTTTGTTTTTCAGATATCTGTGGTTTAAATATTCTCCCTTTGAATGCTAGTTTTCCTCTGCTTCTCCTTAAATTGCCAGTGAGAAGTTTGGTTTGCTCTAGCTAAAGAAAGTTTTATTTGAAATATTGTGACAAAAGTCAGATGTGCTCCTATACATATTTAGAAAATACTAAATTTGGGAGAATATTAAAGTGTCTAAAGTAAATATGAGAGTTGTTCTCTTCTTCAGAATCCCTAGAGAAATAGCTCTTTGTGTCCCCATATATATAGAAATATATATTTATATATTTACATATGTATTTTTTAGCTTACCTTTCTTTTTTCTTTTTTTTTTTTAAGATTTTATTTATTTATTCATAGAGACACAGCTAGAGAGAGAGAGAGAGGCAGAGACACAGGCAGAGGGAGAAGCAGGCTCCATGCAGACAGCCTGACATGGGACTCGATCTCGGGTCTCCAGGATCACGCCCTGGGCTGCAGGCGGCGCTAAACCGCTGCGCCACCGGGGCTGCCCTTAGCTTACCTTTCTAATTAAATATATCTCTGCTTTGTGTTTCGGAATATACAACTCTTTGTCAGTACTTTTAGATTGCTGTCTGGTTTTTTAATTTTTTATTAAAGATTTTATTTTATTATTTATTCATGAGAGAAACAGAAAGAGAGAGGGGCAGAGACACAGGCAGAGGGAGAAGCAGGCTCCACGCAGGGAGTCCGACATGGGACTTGATCCCAGGACTCCAGGATCACACCCTGGGCTGAAGGCAGGAGCCATACTGCTGAGCCACCCAGGGATCCCTCTGGTTTTTTTATTTTTAAGAATGAACAGTTATATCATCCCTTAATGTTGGACATTGCTTATAGAATTTCACTGTTACAAATACTGCTGAAATGACTAGTCCTTTTTTATTTTTTTTTAAGATTTTATTCATGAGAGAGAGAGAGAGAGAGGCAGAGACATAGGCAGAGGGAGAAACAGGCTCCATGTAGGGAGCCCGATGTGGGACTTGATCCCGGGACTCCAGGATCACGCCCTGAGCCGAAGGTAGACGCTTTAACTGCTAAGCCACCAGGCGTCCCAAAATGACTAGTCTTATATGTATATCTTTATACCCCCCCCCTTTTTTTTTTGAGAAATACCAGTTATTGGAATTGTTTTGTCGAAGGGTCATGTACATTTAAGATTTTGAACTAGAGTCACTGTAAAAAGGTACGATAGGCAGATGGTGTGAAACTCAAGGTGTGAATAGAGGTGTGAATGAAGAGAAACTTTCACTCATTCACTCCTCTTTCCCTGCAACTTATCTTCTCTTTCTAGAAAAAAACGTTGTGTGTGTTTGTGTGTGTGTGTGTGTGTGTGTGTGTGTGTGTGTGTGTGTGTGTAGATGGGCTGCATTAAAAGTTAAGTACATTTGATGGGATCCCTGGGTGGCGCAGCAGTTTAGCGCCTGCCTTTGGCCCAGGGCACGATCCTGGAGACCCGGGATCGAATCCCACGTCGGGCTCCTGGTGCATGGAGCCTGCTTCTCCCTCTGCCTGTGTCTCTGCCTCTCTCTCTCTCTCTCTGTGTGTGTGACTATCATAAATAAATAAAAATTAAAAAAATATATATTAAAAAAAAAGTTAAGTACATTTGAAATTTTGATAGATGTTACCAAATTGCCCTCCTTAGCTAGTTAAGGCTTCTGAGTAGAATCAGGCCAGATTTATAATAGAGACTAAAGTTATATACATGGGCTTACATATATACTGAATCATCTAGTAACTTTGTAGTCTTTTGTATGATTGGTTCGTATACTCATTATTAGTCTATAGTTTGAGAATTGTATGAGTTTCTCTGGGTAAGTAGCCACAGAAGATGCCTAATTGCAGTTTTCTAGACTTGACTGTGTATTATATTTGATTTACATCTATCTCTCCCTTGAAAATTGCTTTAGGACAGCCCAGGTGGCTCAGTGGTTTAGCACCACCTTCAGCCCAGGGTGTGGTCTTGGAGACCCGGGATCGATTTCCACATCAGGCTTCTTGCATGGAGCCTGCATCTTTCTCTGCCTGTGTCTCTGCCTCTCTCTCTCTCTCTTTCGCTCTCTTTCTGGCCTCTCGTGAAGAAATAAATAATTTTAAAAAAAGAAAGAAAATTGCTTTAAAATACATTTTATATGAAATTTTTTGAGTGTGGAGAACTTGCTATTTATACTTGGCTTTGAGACCACCTTCATAAAGTACAAGTATTTCTGTACATCTTGGAGGTATAGAAAAGGGAAGAAAAAATGATAAATGAGTTCTAATCCCTGAAGTGTAATTATGACTCTGGAAATTGCATGGATGCCTGAGATTGAAAAAAGCTTGGGATGATTTTTGTTTTTTAAGATTTATTTATGTATTTGAGAGAGAGGAAAATGCGAGGGTGTATGGGAGGTGGGAGGGGCAGGGTGGAGGGAGTCTTAAACAGACACTGCTGAGCAAGAAGCCTGACATAGGACTTGATCTTACCACCCTGAGATTACAATCTGAACTGAAACCTACAGTCAGGCGCTCAACTGGCTGCACCATCCAGGTGCCCGTTGGAGTGATTTTTATTATAAAATACATTAACTGCTTGAGAGAAGGCATTTGGCTTTTTCCTTTAGAATGAGGCTATGAGCAGATTGCAGGATGGATTTTTGAATTTGGTAACTCTTACCCAGTTTGTAGAGCTTACTTATTTTGGGGGAAGCACAGTGGTGCATGGAGAGACAACATAGACATGGCTTTGCATTTCATACTTGAATCTCCTTAGGTCTATGACTTTGAATAAGTTTGTTAACCTTTCTGTACTGTACCTCAGCTTCCATCTTTAAAACAAATGTCAATAACATTTGCCTCATGGTGTTGAAAGAATTAAAGATAATGTACATACATAACATGTCAAGCTGTGCTGAACAACAATAGGGACCTCTAACATGGAGACTTCTGTTTTTAGCTATTATCGATACATAAGAACCTTTAATTGTAAAGTTAATAACTTTTTAGTTCCTAATAAATTATTATTGCTCTAATTTTTTTTAACATTTATCCCAGCCCCATCTTGTTAATTTTTTTTTCTTGTAGGGTGAACTGTCCCATGATCAGGATGTGGTAGAGTATATCATGAATCAGCCAAATGTTGTTCCACGAATCAATTCTAGGATTTTGACATCTGAGCGCGAATACCTGGATTTAACAGCAACCAGTAAGGAGTGTTTCAGGAACAGCTTTGGGCTTTTTCTCATTTTTGTTTCAGAATCTTTGCATCTGTTGGATTGTAAAGTCCAGAAGATAACCCAAGATTGTGACACAGTGTTTTAATGTTTTATGTTTTCATTCATCACACATTTAGTTCATAACATGAGCTTCTAAATTCATAAGCGTTTCCTCCAAAAACAAAGAAATTCTTCCTGTATAAATCCTTATAAACTTTGAAAAATATCCATTGTCTTTTTTTGTTTTTTAAGGGGTGGTAGGGAGGGAGAGAAAGAATCTTAAGTAGGCTCCACACCTAGTGCAGAGCCTCTCACAACTCTGAAATCCTGACCTGAATCCTGAACCAAAATCAAGAGTAGGATGCTTAACTGACTGAGCCACCCACGTACCCCTCATTGTCCTTTAAATGCCAGCTGTTAAGGCCTAAGGCCTTAAGTGATGGGACTACATCTGTATTGTTGACTTTCTTAAGAGTCATAAAGCTGTTAAGCAGCCTTGTTGTAGAATTAGCTAGCAGTGATGTGGACAAACAACTCAGGTGGTTTTGCTCTGAGAGGCTAGGAATGAATGCCTATCTAAAAATAAACTTTCATTGAGATATAGTGTACATGCCATAAAACAGCCTTTTGAAACTTTATACAAGTGCACAATTTTTAGTGTATTCTCAAAGTTGTCTGATCATCACTGTCTAATTGTAGAACATATATCATGGCCCCTACCATGTACCCATTGGTAGTTACTCTCCATTTCCCCTTCCCCAACCCGCTCTGCAACCGCTGATCTAGTGTCTGTCTCTGAGGGAGTTTTCTGCTGGATATTTTGTATAATTCTGAGTTTTCTGTGATTAGCTTCTTTTTCTTACCATGTTTTTAAGGTTTATCCATGTTGTAGCATGTCACAGTACTTTTTGCCTTTGTATGGTTAATTAGTATTTTCTTACATGGATAGTCTACACTTGGCATACCTAATCCTTAGTTGATAGACGTTTGCGTTATTTCCACAAGAATACCCTTTCAGAGGTAGTTGTGTGAAGCCTAGGTACAGTTTGTTCCTTATGCCTTCCCTTGTGGCTCCGAAGGCCATTTGAACAAAGAGCTGGAAATAGGTAGAGCTGTGGTAACTTGCAGAAGTCTTACTCCACAAGAAAAGATAAATGTAACAAAGAAGTACAAGCCAGTGGCCTTTGCTGTTGTGAGTGGGGTGTGATGCACACAGAGCTTTAGGTGTGCTTGTTAACTTTATGGCACCCATCTCTAATCTGCTTGAAACTGAATGTCTTTTCTTTTAGACAGAGCCAAGATGTACATCTCTGCTTATATTTGAAAAAAGGAAGTAGTCAGAAAGTGACCTAAGCTGTTTCTTTATAATTAGGTTTTAGCTTTTTACCTAAAGTTTTAATAGAGTCAAGCAGTATTAGGAGTCTTTGTCCTAAGTTTTTGTAGTTTCCATCATTTAAAATTAAACTGTAAGGAGCTCTCTTTGAGGTATTCATGGATGAGGAGCACAACAATAGTTCTGTGTTTTGGATATCTTTCTCCATTGAATGTTGAAGTGATCAGCTGTGAAATTATGCTAGTTCATAGTGGCAAAAATGCAGTTTGCCTGGTAAACATTTTGGAGCTGTCAGTGGAGGAGCAGCTTGCATCCTTCTGACCCTGCAGTCATAGTTCCATGATTACCTACACAGCTGTTGGCCTTTGTTGTCCTGGGACCTTCTTAGAAGGAGATTGTTTTAAGGCTTTAATGCTTTTGGTGCTTTTGTCCCCATGAGCTGTGTCTTACTTACCATTTCTTTCCTTTTACTAGAATATTGAGTTTAAGGATAGTAGGTGCTTGGTAAGTTCTGTTGAATGAAAGGATAGACAGGTGAGTAAGTGGACATAGATAGGAGGCGTAAATAAACCAGCTGTACTTGGAAGATGGTGAGAGAAGAGTGACATTTGTGTTGGAGTGCAATAAGGCACGAGATTGAGGAGGTTCTTGGAGATAAAGGATGATACAGGATGGAGACCATTTTGTATGTAGGAAGAAATTACTGGGTAGTTTAGATCAAAGGAATGACTTGATGAAAATGGGATTTTAGCAAAAGTAACTCGAGGGGAAATGATTGATAAGAGTGTTGCCCGAGGGCACTAATTAATAAACATGAAACAATAGATTTCACTCATGCATTTTTATAAATCTTGTATTATGGTCAAGTCAGATTATCAATTGAATATTAATGTTAGATTGAATTTAGTCACGTTAATTATAAATCTGTTTCAATTTTTTTTTCCAGATAACTTTTTTGTGGATGACTATGCTAGATTTAGTGTCTTGGATTCCCAAGGCAAGACTGCTGCTATTGCAAATAGTATGAACTATCTGACAAAGAAAGGTAATCCATTTTAGGCTTATCTTGGATTCAACTTTTTTTTTCTTTCTTTTTTTAGTATTTTTAGAAATAATTCAGTCTTTAGTGTCTGTCAGAGATTCTGTCATTTTTTTATTAATAATTTCTTAAAATGATTTGAATCCATTCTTTATGTTTTTGAAAGTTTAGATGTTTTTATAAATTTTATTAGATATTAAGATCAAATGAAAAGTTTTTTCATGATTCAAAATGTGAAAACATTTACGATGTAAACATGGGTTAATGGATTGAAAATTGATTTGATTTGCCTCTTCACTGACAACATTGAGTTAATTTTTTTTAGGGTTTATAAGATAAACTTGGTTCTAGGAATCCTTGTGCACATTTTAAAACTGATTTTAATGAGGAGTCAGTTATTTAGGCTAATATTGTGTGAAATTGATATCATTTTAATGGCAGACAGATGCTTTCTTCCTCTGGTCTTTCTTATCATCCTTTCAAAGCACTGACTGTCATTTAAGGCAACTATTTTTATTCATGCTGTAGTCTTGTCCTAGAGAGAATTTCTGGCTTTCCAGATCTATGTAAATAAAAGTAATTGCTCCATTTGGTTCCTCAAGGAAATTGTTCTGAGGGGTCCTGGAATAGTGCTATACCACTCAGGGGACTACAGAGCAGAGAGAAGATTGATCATATTAGGAATTATTTAAAATTTTGACTCTTATGATAGGCATCAGTTATAGCAATGACATTTTCTTCTACTCTTTTTCCTTTACCTCTGTCTAGGAATGTCCTCCAAGGAAATATATGGTAACTTTAAATTTCAGAATGTTCGGTTTCTTTTCTTAATTATCTTATGTGGTTTCAGGCAATGTTGTGATTCAGAATTTATTGACACTTTATTATGACATTTCTGGAACTTGTGGGTAGCAGTAGATAATTTATCAAATGCAGATAAAATTTGTATAAGTGTTTACAAAGAATTCTATTTTAGAAAGTTACAAATTAATATGCTTAAAGACTAGATATGCTACCCACACGTTCAAAGGTTATTTTTCATTGTATATGCTAACAGATGCCTAAATCACAGAATTAATAAATGCATGTTCCTAGTTTGTAATTAAGCCACATGGAAGGTTACCCTGCTTTTGTTCTAGTATAGAAGTTTTACTACTTTTGCTTTATATCTTTATTAAACTTGTCATTTTCTTATTTTTTGCATGGTTTTCAGAAATTTTTGGCTTAAATAATATTGAAATATAGAATGTGCTTTTTTCCCTCTGACTCAGTGTGTTGTTTTTGTTTTTCTATAGATGATTCTTTCATTAGGCCTGTAACTTTTTGGATTGTTGGGGATTTTGATAGCCCTTCTGGAAGACAATTACTATATGATGCTATTAAACATCAGGCAAGTATCTACACCTTCATTCTGTGTGCTGATGTTACTGTACCAGATGGGAAGTGGGAGTCCTGTTTTTCTACTGCTTGAGGGAAAGGAGCATTGTTTCTCTGAAGGTCTGCCCACTAGTGAGAAAAGAGAGGAGACTGCAGTATTCTGACTTTACTTAAGGGTATAGATTCTTTTAGAAAAAAGAAATAATGAGATCCTTATCATAGACAAATTTTTGTTGGGTGACTGTTCATGTTCTTTCTACAGAGATGCTGCAAAGATCAGGCTGTATATTGTGTGGGGGGAGGGAGGACCTTTACTTTGAAGGAGGTCTAGATGTGGGGGAAATACCATGCAGATATCTTAGTGCTCATGTAATAGCAGATCTTGGCACACAGAGGAATGCATATATAGATGGTCTGAAAGATACATTGCACATAAATTGTAGAACTTGAGTGAATGGCAAGGGTGAATGGTTGAGAAGAAACGGACTCTTCTAAAGAGCGTCAGAGACTGAGCTGTTCCTTTTCCTGAGCAGTTTCAGATTGGATCTTCATCCAAATTTCACACCCTTCCCATGTTTCCTTGCCACCCTGTGTCCCAAGGAGGCTTATTGGAGTACTGAAATACCGAGGTGATTTCAACTTCCCTAACATGCTAAGTGCCTTTATTGTCTATATTTTTTGAGTGGTGATAGAGTGGGAGAACAAGAAGGGAGAATTGAAAATTTTTTTTTCTTAATTTATTTTAGAGGAAGAGCACAAGTGGGAGGGGCAGGGAGAGGGAAAGAGAATCTCAAGCAGACTTCATGCTGAGCACACAGTCCTATGCGGGGCTTGATCTCAATGACTCTGAGATCATGACCTGAGCTGAAACCAGGATTCAGGCACTTAACCAGCTATACCACCCAGGCACCCTAAGAATTGAAATTTAAAAAAAATATATTTTAATTGAAGTAAAATATAGGATAAAAAGAAGTACACAAATCTTAGAATTACTTAATGTCACAAAGGGAACATCCAGGTGGCCCACCACCCTGGTTTTAGACATAGAGAATTATCAAATTCCAGAAAGCCCTCTCCTGCTTGTGTCTCCATCACCCCTCACATATTTGTTTGTGTTTCCTTTTTTTAATCAACATTTTTGAGATTTATCCATGATATTACAAGTAGTGGTAGTTAGTTCTTTTTTCACTGTGCTGTATCATATTATATGGCTGTACCACAAAGTTTTGTTTGTTCATTTAATCTTTTTGATGGATAGTCTTTTTTCTAGTTAGGGGCTATTCTGAAGAAGGCTGCTTTCACCGTTCTTATATGCATCTTTAGATCTACCTTAGTATGAGTTTTTGTTGCTCATGTTTGTGACACAAGGTTTTATGGATCCCAGATAACTTTTCCAACATAGGTTCTTATCTTTTTACTCAGAGAGAGATTAATTTTTACAAGGAATCTGGGAAGGCCATGTGAACAAAGAAGTCTTTGAATAGAAACTGAAGATTGGTTGGGACTGAGGGTAGGAAGGATGGGATGGACTTGGGGTTTGCATGCCAACAGGAAGCATGGAGTGTGTTAGAGTGATACAAAATGTGTTGGGGAACATGGGACTCTTGACAGCCTGTAATGGAGCTATATATATATATAGGGATGGTAAGAAGTGGAAGTTGGAAAGGTAGTTTTGGGACCAGTTCATGTAGGGGTTTGAAAACCTGCTATAGCATTTAAATTTTATTCTGTATACAGAAGAGCAGTACTAAAGACTTTTAAGAGAGATTATATTTGCTTCTTAATAAAATACGAAGATGTTAATGTCACTCTTTAAGTTCAAAACATCTACCATATAACTCTTATTTCCCATTTTATAAATAGAAATCCAGTAACAATGTTAGAATAAGCATGATCAATAATCCTAGTGAAGATATAAATTATAAGAACACTCAGATCTCCAGAGCAATCTGGGCAGCTCTCCAAACACAGACCTCCAACTCTGCTAAGAATTTCATCACAAAAATGGCCAAGGAGGAGACTGCAGAGGCCCTGGCTGCAGGAGCTGACATCGGGGGGTTCTCTGTCGGGGTAAGTCTCTGTGTGTTGCATGGAGCTGTCTTGTTTTGTTACTTTCCACAGAAATTCAGTCTCAGGGGCTGATGTATCTTGTTCATGATTGGGATTTGTGATTTTAGTACTGAGTTTCAGAGGATTTTTCTTACTTTGGAAGTATCTTTCCAGGAAATAACAATTGTGCCACATTCCCTTTACCACTTTTAATACCTTTAAATAAAGTTTCAGGATTGAACTCTTAAATATTTTAAGCACAAAGCCATTTGTTTTGTATAGTTTTTAAAAGACAGGCAATATTTGTTTATAGAGCAAAAAACTATGATTGAAGCTTCTTATGAGTTAGAGGCTTACGTATTCTTGATGTGTTCTGATATAAGCCCATATGTATTCATTGTATAAGTTACTACCTTTTGAACTATTTCATAATTTTAAAATTCTTACAAAATGATAAGTATAAACTTGATGTTTCAGTTAGCAAAAAGGCTCTTAAAATTAGCAGGATTTTAAAATACAGAATAAAAAAAAGAATAAAGATATGATGAAGAATAACTTGCCAATTGAGCAATCACATAAAAGAATAGTTACAGGAAATAGGCATTACTTGATAAATTAGAGGGTGGGAGAAAATGGGAGGAGTAGCGAATTGAGACATCATTAATGTTAATTATTAAAATTAGTTCTGACTCTCCATTAAGAGATCATTTTATGATTTATTCATTTTGATTACTCACTTTTATAGCTTGCTTAATAACAATTACTTTTCCTTAATAACAATTACTTTCCTAGGGCATGGATTTCAGTCTTTTTAAAGAGGTCTTTGAGTCTTCCAAAATGGATTTCATTTTGTCTCATGCCATGTACTGCAGGGATGTTCTGAAGCTGAAGAAGGGACAGAGGGCAGTGATCAGCAATGGAAGGGTGAGGATTTTTTTGTCCTGAGACAAACTTGACTTCAGATTAGATCAGTGAGCAGTGTTGGTCGTGTTCTCCTCTGAAGCTAGTAAACTCCTCAAACAGAGCCACTCTTTCCAAAGGGAATTGGGGCTTATGCAGTGATGATGGTAGTTTCTGCACCCTTATTTCAAAGGTGATTTGCTTTTGACAGAAGCATCCTTATGTAAAACTAAAACCTTCTCGCTGTTTAATTATGTCCTGCCACATGTACAGTGGCGGCAGGAGTGTATTGTCTCTCAGAGAATAAGCTGATAAGGCTTTGATACATGAAGTATACATCCTTTGTGGGAACTGTGTTCATAGTTATGTAGTCTCTGTCAACTTCAGTGGTGCAGGCTTAGACTATTTCATACATATCTGCAGCCAGGGACATGAAGCTGGGGGTGGGGGGGTGGGGGGGTGGGGTACCAAACTTTGAACTCTTAGCACCAAGGGTGAAATCTCTGCTGTCTGTTACTCACTACACTGCATCTCTTGTTTGGTTCTGTTATTTATTTCCAGTGAGAATCAATGAAACTGGCTATTTTGTTTTATTTCAGAGTTGCTTAACTTTAAAAATATTGTGGAGTATACAAGTCTACATTCTGTAATTGAGGAATTGTTAAATAAATAACTGGATGAGTTGATTTGGGTTTTATTTTTACCTTTTTCACTGATTTTATTAGATATATACATGTCTTGGGTCTTTAAAGTGATTAGGTTTATAAGATAGCCTAAGGACAACAGAGTCCTTCTTTTCAGCTTATAATGCTAGCACTGACTGCCTGCTCTTCACAGATCATTGGGCCACTGGAGGACAATGAACTCTTTAATCAAGATGATTTCCACCTCCTAGAAAATATCATCTTAAAAACTTCAGGACAGAAAATCAAATCCCACATTCAACAGCTTCGGGTAGAAGAGGATGTGTAAGTTTTGCTGTGGAAGAAATTAATTAGTGAATGTCATAGGGACTGTGTTGAACTTTACTCCTGCTACCTATTTCATGGTGTTTATTTCCATTGTGAGCTCACAACTTTGAGATCAAGAGATGCACACTCTACTAACTGAGCCACCCAGGTGCCCTTACTTTGCGCATTTTTTATTGTTTTTCTTTTGTTGAGTTATAGGAGTTCTATATAAATAAGTAAATATTCTGGGTATTGATCTCTTATGGATAGACAATATGCAAATATGGTCTCCCATTCCATGAGTTACATTTTCATTCTTTTGTTAGTGTCCTTTGGTGAATAGTTGGAGGATATAAAGTTTGAAAGTTCTGGTTTTTTCCTTCATCTCTTTCGTATACCTTCAAGTATTGACGTTGATAGCTGCCAGAGCAGTCCCTTTGCCAAGTCTTGTGATAGAGGAAGGAATCTTCTTTTATCTCAACCAAAAACAAGGCAGCAGATAAAGAAGTTTCCTTCTACCTTAGTGGCTTTTTAGTGATGTCCCTTGTTCCAGTCTATGAAACACTTCCCTGATGCAGGCCAGGAGGTGCGCCCCTGACTTGAAACCATCATATCACGGCATAGGCTTGGTGTGCTGTGCCCTTGGATCATTCTTTCTCCTTTTGGACTATATAATTGCCAGACTAGGCATGGAAGACTTGCTGTTTATTAGAGAGGTGGTACCATCTCTCGAGGGTTAATTGAGGGAAATAAGGTAGTCATAGAGCTACCTAAAGATAAACTAAAACTATTTGGGTTCTCAGAATTACCTTGCCTGCCTAGGGTTTTCATTAGTGTCATAGCTGCTCCACCTTGGAGAGGTCCCCTGTGATAGCCACAGCTTTCATTTATGGCCCAGTCCTGCAGCCACAAGGCCATCCTCCACTTTCTGAAGTTCACTGTGGGCTGTTTGATCCCAATTGCACTGACTAAACATAGGCGTGCTTTGTGAAACTTAGGGAGTCTGTTGTTTGCCTGCTCACCCACGTCCACATTGCTTACTCAAGTCTACATAATCCAGCATCCCTTGAAATATTTTGTGAGTGTTGACATATCACAGGATACAAGTGGCCTGTATTATATAGGTTCAGACTCCATGAGAAGTACCAAGAGAGATAGTTTGATTTGGTTCAGTGAGAAAATGTATAGGCTTGTTTCCAGTTCAGATATATTCACAAGTGTTTTTTTAGAATTCTTAAAATTCAGTCCTTGGTTCAGCAGATTCAAGCATTTTTTTCAGTCTTATGGTTTAGTTCAAGATCTTCCTTGGTTAGAAATCAACTTTAGAAGAGGCAGGGAAAGCAGAAGAGCTTTTTTAAGTTGTTCACTGCAGTGTTGATTGTAATAGTGAAGTAGGAAGCAACCTAGATGTTTACTAGCCAGTTGGTGATTATTGTGTATCAGGAAATCTAATGATAGTCATTGAAAATATTGATGTACCCTATATGTATTAACTAACAAAAAGATGTTTGTAATATATAGTTACAGGGGTACCTGGGTGGTTCAGTCGATTGAGCATCTGACTCTTGGTTTCAGTTCATGTCATGATCTCAGTGTTGTGGGATTGAGCCCTGTGTTGGGCTCCATTCTCAGTGTGGAGTCTGCTTGAGATTCTTTCCCTTTTCCTCTGCTCCTTCCCCAGCTCACAGTCTCTCTCTCTCTCTATAAAGTAAATAAAATCTTAAAAAAAAAAGAAAAGGAAAAGCAGGTTATCAAATAATATAATCCAACTTTTGTTTATATATGTATATATTTAAAAATGTAGAATTATGAACCAAAATGTCATTAATGCTTATTTCTTGATAATGATATTGTATATATATCAGTTTTCTCATTTTTTTTCCTGAATTTTTTTTCAGTGAATTATTACTCTAATAATCCTAAAGACTAATAAAGCTATTTAGAAGTGGGTGAGGGAGAAGGTAAATAACACAAACTTACAGTCTATTATGGGCCAGGCCCTGAGCTTGGTACTTTATAAAATGTTTAGCCAGTGCAATATTTATAAGTGTCATACAAAGTATGTACTATCCCCATTTCACATATGCAAAAATCAGTATCTTCTTCAAGGTTATGAAACTACTCAGTTACAAAATCATTAGTTTTTCTCTTGCCTGTTGGTAAAAGTTCATATGTTCTTTAAACTATTTTGGTGGCATTCAATACTTAGACTGGTAATTGGAAAAACTTTCAGTTAAAGAGATACTAAATTTTCACCAACCATGTCTTTCAGGGCAAGTGACTTGGTAATGAAGGTAGATGCTCTCCTGTCAGCTCAACCAAAAGGAGATGCAAGAATCGAATACCAATTTTTTGAAGACCGACACAGGTACAGAATTAATATTGAATTTATGCATATTCTTGAATAAAATGGTAAAATTGCCTTTACCTCATCTCCTTTATTTTTCTGTCTGAAGTGTGTATATAAGTTGTTTGAATGGAAAATTTTGCCTGGTTGTGCAGTTTTCATATATACTCATTTTCTTATGCAGAATTCATATACAGACTCAGTTGCATAAAAGTTGACATTTTTTCTAAATAAATCTGAAATACTTCTGACTGTACCCTTCTAGAAAACAGAAAGCATGAATAGAGAAAAATTAGTTGTAATTTTCTGATACCCAAAAATAAACACAGGTTGGTAGGGCACCCTACCAATGAAAACGATTTTGTTTTCAATAAAATAAAAATAAGTTTTAGCATTGTGAAAAAAGTCCTTGCCTTTTGGTTCTGAGTTATTTATTTGAAAAGTTTCAAACCTAAAGAATAGTGGAAACATTTTATGAGTGAACACGTAGATATCTTTACCCTGGGTTCACAGTTATTAACATTATGCCACATTTATCTGTCATTTTTGTGGGTTTGTTTGTGCATATGTATGTGTAGCACATAAAATGTATATTTATGTTTGCATACAAACATACGCGTACTTATATTTTTCCTGAACCATTTGAAGGTACATTGTAGACATCATTACACATCACGCCGGAATTCCTCAGCATGTTGTTTCCTGAGCACCAGGAGTGTCTCCACTATTGGCATACCTTAGAGATTTAACCTTGAAGCAGTGATATTAAGTAGTACCAGTCCATATTCACATTTCTCCAAGGCCCCAGTAATGACCTTTGAAAACTGTTTTGTTCTTTGATTTGATTTGACCCAGATCACATGTTGCAGTTCTTTGTTGCGGGTCTCTTTTAGTCTCCTTAAATCCAGAATATTTCCCTACATGCTTTTTGTTTTGTTTTGTTTTGTTTTGTTTTGTTTTGTCTTTTATGACAATGACATTTTTTTCCACGTTCTGAAGTTAGAGATTTATTTCAATACTTTACCACATACCAAATATCATGAAATCTATTTTATTTTATTTATTTATTTTTTACTGAAGTTTGATTTGCCAGCATATAGTACAACACCCAGTGCTCATCCCATTTTTATTATTATTTTTTTTTATTGAAGTTCGATTGGCCAACATACAGTACAACACCCAGTGCTCATCCCATTAAGTTCCCTCCTCAGTGCCTGTCACCCAGTTCCCCCCCTTCATTTTCAGGCTGGAGGTGTCCTTAGGTCTAAAATGAGTTTCTTGCAGACAGCAAATAGATGGGTCTTGCTTTTTTATCCAGTCCGATACCCTGAGTCTTTGGATGGGATCATTTAGCTCATTCACGTTCAGAGTAACTATTGAAAGATATGAACTTAGTGTCATCATAATACTTATTCAGTCCCTGTTTTTGTGGATTATTTTTTTAGGCTTCCTCTTTCTTTTACAGGGTTCCCCTTAATATTTCTTACAGAGCTGGTGGTCACATATTCTTTCAGTTTCTCCCTATCTTGGAAGCTCTTTATCTCTCCTTCTATTGTGAATGAGGGTCTTGCTGGATAAAGTATTCTTGGCTGCATGCTCTTCTTATTTATAACCCTGAATATATCATTGCCAGCCCTCTCGGGCCTGCCAGGTGTCTGTGGAGAGGTCTGCTGTCAATCTGATATTTCTCCTTACATAAGTTAAGAATCTCTTATCTCACTCTGCTTTAAGGATTTTCTCTTTATCTTTGGAATTTGCAAGTTTCACTATTAAATGTTGAGGTGTTGAACAATTTTTATTGATTTTCGGGAGGGGGTCCTCTCTATCTCTTGGATCTGAATGCCTGTTTCCTTCCCTAGATTTGGAAAATTCTCAGCTATGATTTGCTCACATATACTTTGTGGTCCTCTCTCCCTCTCAGCCTCTTCTGGAGCCCCAATTATATTTAAATTCTTCCTTCTCAAGCTATCATTTATTTCCTTAAGCCTTTCCTCATGGTCTCTTAATTGTTTTTCTCTTTTTTTCTCAGTTTCCTTCCTTACCATCAACTTGTCTTCTATGTCACTCAACTCTCTCTTCCACCTCATTAACCCTAGCAGTTAGAATATCCAGTTTGGATTGCATCTCTTTTAATCTGTTTTTAATTTCATCCTGTTTAGATCTCAATTCTGCTGTAACGAAGTGTCTAGAGGCCTTTATGCCTTTTTCCAGAGCCACCAGTAGCTTTATAATCATGCCTCTGAATTGGCTTTCTGACATCCAATTGAAATCCGCATTCTGTAACTCTGTGGCAGAGAGTACTGTTTCCGGTTCTTTCTTTTGTGGTGAATTCTTCCTTCTAGTCATTTTGTCCAGTGCACAGTGGCTGTATGAGCAGGCTGAGTCAAAAATATCAACCACGACTTAAGTAAAATTCACCCTAGATGATTCCAAAGAGGTCGGAGACCAGAAAATGAAAAAGATCAGAAAATAAAAATAAGGACCACTAAAGTGAAAAATTAAAAAAAAAAAAAAGTAGGAAAAAATAAAAGGCCAAAAACCCCAAAGAAAAAGAACAAAGAAAAAAAGAAAAGAGAAAGAAGAGAAAAAGGGGGGGCTGGGGGCTGAGGGTGGTGAATAAGTGGTAGTGGAGGGAGAATGTAGTCTACCTGAGGGGTCCTAGAGGGTGATCCTCTTAGTTCTGAATGTATTTTGTTTTGTTTGTTAGAAGATGCTCAGTCCCAAATTTGTATAAACCAGCAGTACTTATAGAAAGCCCCAACAATGACCACTAAAGCATAAGCAAGATAAAGGAGGGGAGCAGAATGGGAATGAAGAGAATATAATCTCACAGAATGAACCAGCACGGTATTCCACTCGGTTCTGGGTGTATGCTGGTCATGTTTTAGAAGGTATTAACTTCTGCCTTTGTAGAACAAAACAAGGTAGAGAAAACAAAAAACACAAAACAAAAACCTATATTTTGTATATCTCCTAAAATTAAATTGAATATGTTGAAAAGAATCCAGAAGTGAAAAATGTATCTAAGACATATAATTATAGAAGTATGAAGCCCAAAAAGGAAAAAACTTAAAAATGAAGAGTTGATAAAATATTGTAGTTAAGATGGTAAAAGAGAAAAAATATTGGAAATTTTTAGTCTGGTATAAAAACGAGTTGTAATGGAAAAAGGAAAACAAAGGGATACCTTCTAGTTCTATATACTATATTCCCTCGATTTTCCCTTGGTCTAGAGCTTTCCAGCGCTGCTTGGTCAAGAGCTTGCTCTTCCTTTTACTTCTAGCTGGTCTTCTGGGGGAGGGGCCTGCTGTGCTTATTGTCTGGTGTCTGTGCCTGGGTGGAGATGCCTGCCCCTCACCAGGTGTAGGGCCCAGTGTGAGCTGTTTATCCTTGGTTTATCCCTCAGCAAGGCGTTTATTCCCTGGTGGCCCCGCCTCTCACAGACAGAAGGTGAAACGAGGAAAAACAACAATGGTGATGGCCATATTTCCAGCTCTGGAGTCGAGCTCCCTGCGAGTAATTAATGCAGTCTCCCATTCCTCACTGGTGTAGATGCTCCCAGGGCCAGCATGGGTGCACTGCTCTGCACAGCTTGGGGGTGCCCAGTGGCAGGAAAGTTCTCACTGTCCTGTGCATTCCCTGCTTCTGCCTGTCCCAGGGGGAGCACAGGATCACTGGGTTTGTCCGCTTGGGTGCCCTGGGATCTGGGACCCTGTGCCACTGGACCCGCGCTTCCAGGGTCCACCTCTGCTGAAGGGAACTGGGCATAGTTCTGTCTAGAGCCGGCCCACCTAACTGACTGGCTTCTTCCAACTGCCCTGAGGGCTGCAGTGCTCTAGCCCTTTACCGATATTGAATGGAAGTTTGCGGTGTGCTTTACCCCTGGGTGCCCCCCCCCCTTATAGTCACTCCAGGAATCTTGAAGCTTCACTGCCCCTCCTAGGAGTTTTTTTTTTTTAATAAATTTATTTTTATTGGTGTTCAATTTGTCAACATACAGAATAACACCCAGTGCTCATCCCGTCAAGTGTCCCCCTCAGTGCCCGCCACCCAGTCACCCCCACCCCCCGCCCACCTCCCCTTCTACCATCCCTAGTTCGTTTCCCAGAGTTAGGAGTCTCATGTTCTGTCTCCCTTTCTGATATTTCCCACTTATTTTTTATCTTTTCCCCTTTATTCCCTTTCATTATTTTTTATATTCCCCAAATGAATGAGACCATATAATGTTTGTCCTACTCCGATTGACTTATTTCACTCAGCATAATACCCTCCAGTTCCATCCACGTCGAAGCAAATGGTGGGTGTTTGTCGTTTCTAATGGCTGAGGAATATTCCATTGTATACATAAACCACATCTTCTTTATCCATTCATCTTTCAATGGACACCGAGGTTCCTTCCACAGTTTGGCTATTGTGGACATTGCTGCTATAAACATTGGGGTGCAGGTGTCCCGGTGTTTCATTGCATCTGTATCTTTGTTTTTGGCCACTCTGCACTGAGCAAAATGACTAGAAGGAAAACCTCACCTCAAAAGAAAGAATCAGAAACAGTCTCTCTCCCACAGAGTTACAAAATTTGGATTACAATTCAATGTGAGAAAGCCAATTCAGAAGCACTATTATAAAGCTACTGGTGGCTCTAGAAAGAAGCATAAAGGACTCAAGAGACTTCATGACTGCAGAATTTAGATCTAATCAGGCAGAAATTAAAAATCAATTAAATGAGATGCAATCCAAACTAGAGGTCCTAACGACAAGGGTTAACGAGGTGGAAGAACGAGTGAGTGACATAGAAGACAAGTTGATGGCAAAGAGGGAAACTGAGGAAAAAGACACACAATTAAAAGATCATGAGGATAAATTAAGGGAAATATATGACAGCCTGAGGAAGAAAAATTACGTTTACACAATTAAAAGATCATGAGGATAGATTAAGGGAAATATGTGACAGCCTGAGGAAGAAAAATTACGTTTAATTGGGGTTCCTGAGGGCGCTGAAAGGGCCAGAGGGCCAGAATATGTATTTGAACAAATCACAGATGAAAACTTTCCTAATCTGGTAAGGGAAACAGGCATTCAGATCCAGGAAATAAGAGAGATCCCCTCCCCCCCAAAATCAATAAAAACCGTTCAATACCTCGACATTTAATAGTGAAACTTGCAAATTCCAAAGATAAAGAGAAGATCCTTAAAGCAGCAAGAGACAAGAGATCCCTAACTTATATGGGGAGGCATATCAGATTAACAGCAGACCCCTCCACAGAGACCTGGCAGGCCAGAAAGGGCTGGCAGGATATATTCAGGGTCCTAAATGAGAAGACATGCAACCAAGAATACTTTATCCAGCAAGGCTCTCATTCAAAATGGAAGGAGAGATAAAGAGCTTCCAAGACAGGCAGGAACTGAAAGAATATGTGACCTCCTGGGAGTTTTTAAAGTTCCTGCTTCTCCAGGGCTGGGCTTTCCTCCCCGAAAGGCTCCTCGCAGTGTCCCTCCCCTACTTTATTCTTATGTCTTTTCTTTTCTCTTTCTTCTCTTTTCTTCTTTTTTCTCTTTTCTTCTTTTCTTTCTTTTCTTTTCTTTCTTTTCTTTCTTTTCTTTTCTTTCTTTTCTTTTCCTTTTCTTTCTTTTCTTTATTCCTTCCTTCGAAAACTTCTCTATAGCATTCCAGCTGTTCTCTCTTTAAATCTCAGGTCAAATTTGTAGGTGTTGAGGATGTTTTGAAAGTTATCTAGGTAAGTTGCTGGCACCAGGTTTGTTGAGGACCCCTTACCATCTTACCCTTCCTCCTCAACAATGACTTTTTTTTTAAGAGTCCAGGCCAGTTATCTTGTAGAATGTCCCATAGTCTGGGTCATCTCCTCTGATTAGTCTTAAGATTAAGTTATCCTTAGGGAAGAATCCTTGCAGTTGATGTATATAGCCAGGCAGATTATATATCTTGATTGTGCCTTAGAGGTTTTGGATATTGAAGCTTGCATCATGCTCCTTTATGATTCTGATTTAATTAGTCTGGGGTAGATTGGACTTTGGTTTCATTGATCTGGGCTTTCTGACAGCCGGTTCTTGTGGGGATCAAATTTGACCAGACTTATTTGATGATTCAGGCTAGAGAGGAGACCGTCTCCTTTCTCCCTGGCTGTATGTTCTGATTTCTTACATTGTCATTGGGGGAAGACTTCTGGGCTCCTCGCTAGCCCTGGTTGGATTTTGCCCATTAGCACTCATCTTTTTATCATTGTATACTTTCAGGAAATAACTTACCCAGTTACCACCACAGGAAACATATTTCCTAATTGGCTTGCTGTCTTGTTTGCCTTTCATGGCCAAGAAGATAGTGACTCCCGAGCAAAAATCTCTTCTTTTTAGAGCATCGTTTTTTCCATGAGTCTTAAATAATTGCTCTAATTACAAATTCTATTATGAGACAAATTCTAATTAGAGAAATTCTTCTCATTGGGGTTGTGTTAAATAAGTGTTTGTTATATTTAAATCAGAAGTTTCTTATTTGTGTGAGAAATAGAAAGGTCTGAATTATTGCTTATGTATATCCTTGCCCTTGAAGTGTGGCTCACAGAACAGCAACAGCATGAGCTAATCTTTAACATGAAATGATTGGTTTGGCTTTAACACACGTTTCTTCCCTTTCTTGTCTGTCACTTTTGGCCTAACTCTGGTCCTCTCTCTAATACAGCGAGTATCTTTCAACATGATATTGTTAGTTTATACTATTCTCCATTTCCATACTGTTAGTCCTCTAATCTTGGTTTTTGTCTTATTCTCTTTTTTGTGATAGAAATGTGGAGTGGTTAAAAGAACACACAAGGTCAATTTCTGGTACTGCCTGTTGCGGATCACCTAGAACACTGGGTCAGAACATTAACTTGTCACACAGAACTCTACCCAAACCTACCAGGTTCACAGGTTTTGACCTGGGTGTGCCTTACTCAGATGCTATAGAGCATTGTTTGGGACGTTTCTTCTGGTTCCTTTTGTGAGAATTTATATAATGCCATTCTCTAGTGAGCTTCTCTGTCCAGAATTCTGGAATAGCACAGAGGTCCGGGTTATCTGAACGGCTCTCATACTTTGACTTTTACCTAGAGTTTGTTAAAGTGCAAATTGTCTGACCCACCCCCTGATTTTCTGATTCAGGAAGTCTGGATTGTTGCTGACAGTTTGTTTCTGACAAATTTCCAGATGAAGCTAATACTGCTGGTCTGGAGCCACACTTTGAAAACAGCTGTATTAGAGTGGGGAAAAAGGTTATTGTGGAATAATTATTGGCAGCTGGAAATTTTATCAAAAATTGAAAACATCTGCTTTGATAACAGGCACAAAGCTATTTTGATGGTTATTTCCAAAGCAGTTAAGATTTGAAATAGCCTTCATCACCATTTAAACTATAGTTCCTCAGTTTTGTTAGTTACATTTTATTTTGTACTTTTGTTTTTCCTCCCACTGAGTAAATTGCTTTTGCACAGAACAGTAATGATTAGCACCAGAACTACATTAAAATATTGTTGAGAGCAACCAGAGATAGGCATTGATTTGACAAATTTAGATTTTGGAAAATGGGATGTGTTTTAAAACCCTTTCAAAAAAAAAAAAAAATAAAAACCCTTTCAAGTTTATTCATTTTCAAAATGTATCAGAGGCTCCTGCTCCTCTTAAGTCATCTAAGTCAATATGACTTCAGAAGGAGGCCATGTGACTAGAAACAGCAGCTGGGAAGGTGCACCTTCTCAGAAAGCCTAGATGTACAACCTGACGTCTAAACGGCTACTGTTTTTCACTAAGACAAAATATGTATGACTTAATGTCCTTATAAAGGGACTCCGTTCTTTTGGAAATGCGATTAACAACATGTATTATGCACAAAAATATTTGTATACTGTGACTCAGTAATCTCATGTCTAGGACTCTGTCAACTCTAAAGAGATTTCTAAGTATGAAAAAAACTTGTATGTATGGTGTTACTTATAGGTTGCAAAAGCCGTCCAAATGTCCAGCAATGAGGAATAGCTTAAGTAAACATGCCAGATTCACTTGGTATATTGAAGATTATTTCCTATTCAGGATGCTTGATGTGTAACAATATGGAAAAATCATTGTGATAAAGTGGTGGGGGAAGCAAGGATATTGTTCTAAAATTGCTAATATTCGTTAGGTATAGAGGCTCTATATCCTTGGGCATTTGAGAAGGTCTATGGAAAAAAAATTCCACAGCATGGTTGGGTTGGGATGGCGAGATTTTATGATTATTTCCTTTTTCTCTCACAAGTTTTCTGTAATGTTCTTTGTATTATTTTTAAAAATCTGTTTCTTCACTACTCATTACTCTTCTTGCCAAGAAATTAAAAAATTGGTATAGTGTTTATAATTGTCAAATACAAACATCAGCTTTTAGCATCAAGCTGGTTTTCCTTCTCAACACATATCTCTTTGTTCATTTGGAGTGAACTTGAGTCTTTAGCAGGTTTAGCAGACTTTTAGGTAGATATAATTACATGATTAACCACCATGTAACCTCACTGTTCTAGTAAACAAGTGTTTTTAGAAATGCTGAGAGGGCTGATAGGTTATATTGACCTTTTAAAAAAAAGTTAACTTGTTTTCTCTTTTCCACTAGATTAATGTTTTGTCTTTTTGATCTCTGTAGTGCAATTAAAATGAGGCCAAAGGAAGGAGAGACGTATTTTGATGTCGTGGTTGTCATTGACCCTGTCACCAGAGAAGCACAGAGACTTGCCCCATTGCTCTTGGTAGGCATACCCTAAATGGCAGTTCACATTTCTTGGTCCCAGGCCCTGTGACTCTCTTGAGTATCATTGTTCCCCTGGTTATCTTCAGAGAGCATTGGAAAATGTTACAGGGCATCTTGGCAAAGCACAAATGTCTTCATAAAGATTGATAATGGCTCTGCAAACAGCCTTATAACCTTGAAAGTTGGCACAAGTTTGGTTGGTTTCCTCATGTAATTTTTAAAAAATGTCCTATTTAGAGCAAGGTGCCTCTCTCTCTCTCTCTCTCTCTCTCTCTCTTTTTTAAGATTTTATTTATCTATTCATGAGAGACAGAGAAAGGCAGAGACATAGAGGGAGAAGTAGGCTCCTGGGGGGAACCAGATGTGGGACTCGATCCCCAGACCCGGGATCATGCCCTGAGCCAAAGGCTCAACCTCTGAGCCACTCAGGCGTCCCTAGAGCAAGATGTCTTTTAATTAAATTGATTTGGGGCAGCCCGGGTGGCTCAGTGGTTTAGCGCCGCCTTCAGCCCAGGGCCTGATCCTGGAGACCCAGGATCGGGTCCCATGTTGGGCTCCCTGCGTGGAGCCTGCTTCTCCCTCTGCCTGTGTCTCTGCCCTTCTCTCTGTGTGTGTCTCTCATGAATAAATAAATAAAGTCTTAAAAAAAAATTAAATTGATTTTTGCCATATTTTGATTTATAATGAATAAGAGTTAAAAAGGGTAAAATAATTTTACTTTATCATTTTCCTTTTTAAAAACTAGCATTTTTTAGATTAGCATGTCTTGTAGATTTGTATATTACAATTTTAAGAAAATTAAGAACTCTGCCAAAAAGACAGTTGCCTCAACATCTTTTTTTTGAGTTGTATTTCTTTTTTGAGGTGACATTTAATTGACATATAATCAACTAACCTTTTGGCGGGTGTGTGTATATAAGGTTTTTTCCTACTATAGTATATAGACCATACTGATGAACCTTTAAAATTTTCCTTGTATAGACAGCTCTCCCATTATCCATCAGTTGCTTCATTACATGAGGGGGAGCAGTGATTTTCAGTAGCCCATTTGCTATGCTTTTGCCAAGTGATAAGTGTTTGTGATTTAGATTGTGTGCTCTGGCACACAATCACAAATCTGTGATTTTCAGAAATTTCTCCAGTACAGAGTTTATGGCTTTTATTACCTTTCTGTGTTTCTTGAGATATTAAGAGGTATTAACTTAGTATCAGAGTGGATGTTTCTGAAGAGAATATGTAAATATTTTGTCTCAAATATCAGTCACTTTCTATGTAGGAAAATTTTATGTTTTGTCCCTGGCTTACTCTTTTAGGTTTTAACCCAGCTGATCAACATGAATCTAAGAGTGTTTATGAACTGCCAATCTAAACTTTCTGACATGCCTTTAAAAAGGTAAAACAAATTGTTTAAGAAAATCAATTGAAAATGTGGTACTAAATCTGAAAGGTGATATTAAATGTTAAAGATCAAATGGGTTTACAGGTGGACTTCATGTTTGAAAAGATTGTTAACTGTATGTTCAGTTTTGCTCAATTTCTGCTCTCATCCACAGTTCTAAGAACTTAGTGTGGGCATGGAAGCATTTAAGTGGCATTAACTCAGGTTACTTGAGCCTGCCTGCCTCTCTCCCTCCCTCCCTTGGAATTATGTAGTTCTTTAATTTTAGAGTATTTGGATCAATGTAGCTATTAAGTTTACCTAGTTAAAAAAAAATGTGCTGTGGTACAGAAAGAAACTTGTCTGTTCCTTTTTATCTTAAAAGTGGAGCAGTTATTTCAAGTTGGAGTATATTTGTCAGAGGAAGCTCATTTGCATGTATCTTGAGAAGGAGAGCAGGCTTAGCTCTATGTTGTCTGAACCTTGGAATGGTCATTTATGAAGAAAGTTATATAAAAAGATGTTAATAGTAATAGGGTAGCCATCTGCTGGGTCTGTGGGAAATTCCTGATGTGCAAATGTGCTATGTTTGTGGGTTGTTCTTTTTTTTTTTAATTTTTATTTATTTACTTGAAAGAAAAAGAGAGAGCACAAGCCAGGAGGCGAGTTCAGAGGGAGAGAGGGAGAGATAGACTCCCTGCTGAGCAGGGCTCTACCCCAGGACCCTGGGATCACGACCTGAACCGAAGGCAGATGCTTACCAACTGAGCCTCCCAGGCGCCCCTGTATGTGCCATGTTTTAGAAGTTAGATTCTAAGTGAACTCAAACACCGTTTGAAAGTGACTAAACCATTCTCAACCTCCACCATTGTCCTTGAGTAGGAGAAATGTTTAAACTACTACATGTAGTGTTTTCAGGGCTCACCTGAGAACCATTTAGGACTTTGTGTTTAAGAGAAAAATAAGTTTCTCTTACTGATGGGAGGCATGTGTTCAGGAAATCTTGTGACTCCAAACAACAGCCACCCTTACCGGTACCAGAAAGAATGACCTCTCCTCTCAATTCTGTTCCTCCTGCTCTTGCATCTGCAACAGCCACAGGAGGCATAATTAGATCAAGAGATGGTATTGGATACACTTTTCCCAGTCTGGGAGGATACCCTTGCAAATCTAGTTTGTTTTATTTTAAGCTAGCTAGTTAACCTGTGTGAATGCCTGTGAACTTAAAGACTATGGGAGTACTAAAAAGACTCACTTTTTTTTTTTTTTTAAATTTCAGCTTTTACAGATATGTCTTAGAACCAGAGATTTCTTTCACTCCAGACAATAGCTTTGCTAAGGGTCCAATAGCAAAATTTTTGGATATGCCACAGTCTCCTCTTTTCACCCTGAATTTGAACACACCGGAGAGTTGGATGGTGGAGTCTGTCAGAACACCATATGATCTTGATAATATTTATTTAGAAGAGGTAAGAATGTCATTGCTCCTACGTATGTAATCTTGTGTTGTAAAACTGTTTAAGATAGAGTGGTGGTAGTTTCTGACTGAACAGAGATGTCTGTTATCACTTATAATTGTATTATTAAAAAATAATAGCTTCATTGAGATATATTTCACATACCATAAAACTCACTCTTTTAAAGTATACAGTTCAGTAGTTTTAGTATATTCACAAAATTGTTCAGCCATTACCACTACTTAGAAACTCCATACCCATTAGCAGTCATTCCCCATAACCCCTGGCAACCACTATTCTGCATTCTGCCTCTGTGGATTTGCCTGTTCTAACATTTGATCTAAAGAGAATCATATATTTTTGTGACTGGCTTCTTTCACCTAAATTATTAGTTTTAAGGTTTGTCTATGTTGTAGCATGTATTAGTATTTAATTCTTTTTTATTGCCAGATAATATTTTATTGTATAGATTTATCACATTCTGTTTATCCATTCATTGATAGACATTTGGGTTGTTTCTACTTTTTGCCTATTATAAATAATGCTGCTGTGAACATTCATGTCCAAGTTTTTGTAGATGTGCTTTTATTTCTCTCGGAATTGGTGGATCATACAGTAATTCTTTGTTTAATTAGTTGAGGGCCTGCCAAACTTTTCCAGGGTGAGTGCACCATTTTCCATTCCTGCCTATGATGTTGAGCATTTTTTTCATGTGTTTATTGGCTGTATATTCTCTTTGGGGGAGAAATGTCTGTTCAATTCCTTTGCCTATTTTAAAATTTTTCCTTGTCTTTTTATTGTGGAATTGTAAGAGTTCTTTGTATATTCTGGATGCAAATCCCTTATCAAATACACAATTGGTAAATAATTTCTTTTTTTTTTTAATAATTTCTTTCCTTCTGTTAGCTGTCTTTTACTTTCTAATGTTCTTTGAAGCACAAATGTTTCTAATCTTGATGAAATCTGTTTTGTTTTTAAGATCTTATTTATTTATTTATTTATTATTTATTTATTTATTGTTTGTTTGTTTATTTATTTATTTATTTATGAGAGAGGGGGGGGGAGGCAGAGACATAGGCAGAGGGAGAAGTAGACTGCATGCAGGAAGCATGATATGGTACTCAATCCCGGGACTCCGGGATCATGCCCTGACCCAGAGGCAGATGTTCAGTCGCTGAGCCACCCAGGTGTCCCTGTTTTTTTGTTGTTACCTGTGCTTTTGGTTGTATACCTGAGAAATCATTGTTTAATCCTAGGTCGCGAAGATTTACTCCTGTAAGACTTTCAAAGTTTTAGACTCTTCTAATTAGGTCTTTTATTCATTTTGAGTTTTTTTGTATATGGTATGAGGTATTATTACACCTTTCTTTGCATGTGAATATCCATTTGTCACAGTACTATTTGTTGAAAAGACTATTCTTTCTCCATTGAATGATCTTGGTACTACCTTTGTCAAAGATCTGTTAAACCTACATGAATTTAATTCTAGACTCTCAGATCTATTCTCTTGATCTGTGTCTGTCCTTAGACCACACTTGTCTTACTGTAGCTTTGTTGTGAGTTTTGAAACTGGTGAGTTTTCCAATTTTATTCTTATTTTTGGGGATAGTTTTGGCTATTTTGGTTTCTTTGTATTTTGGAATCAGCTTATTAATAGCTGTAGGAAAGGCTGCTGAGATTTTGATAGAGATTACATTAAATCCCTAGATCAGTTTGAAGAATATTGCCATCTTAACATTAAGTGTTCTGACCCATGAATATGGGATGCCTTTCCATTTATTTGAGTCTTTAATTTCTTTCATAAATGTTTTATAGGTCTTAGTATACAAGCTTATAAAAGATTATGTCATCTGCAGATAGAGGTAGTTTTATTTCTTCAAACCAAATATCTTTTATTTAATTTTCTTACCTATTTGGGAAAAATTTAAATTACCAATTAATTCCTTTATTATGAATTTGTTTAGATTTTCTATCTAAAGTCAGTTTCTGGAGTTTGTGTCTCAGGAATTTATCCATTTTATCTAGATTATAATTGGTCTGTAGGTATAGCATTTTTCTACAGTCTTTTAAATTTAAGCTTATTAGTGATGTGTCTTTTTCCCTTGCTGATTTCAGTGAGTTGGCTCTTCTCTCTTTTTTTTTGTGGTCACTCTAATTAAAAGTTTGTCAGTTTGCTGATATTTTTGAAGAACCAGCTTTTGGCTTCATTGATCTTTTTTTCTCTGCTTTTCTGTTCTTTATTTCATTTATGTTCATATAACTATTTTGAGTGTCTAAGGTAAGTGGTCCTTTCCCTCAGTCCACTTTCAAAGATCGAGAGTTCACAAGTGTAGTTTCACTGATGTCTCTTTACAGCCCTCACTCTCTGTACCTGGCTCAGAGTGTATTAACAAAAGAATTAAAATACATGGTCTTTACTTACAAGGAGCTAATGGCATCTCAGAGCCTTCTTCCTTTTAAGATAACTGTCTCTATGTCTGTCCTAAAGATCTCTTCCTAGAGTTGAAGCCTGTTTCCTGGCTCTTCTTCCTAGGAATTGGGAGATCAGGAATTTGAAGATAGTTATTAAAGGACTTCTCAGCCTTCTTTTCATTAGGGTAAAGAAGAATCCCACAGGTGCTAATAAGTGAGGGGAGAGTGTGTGTACACACTTGCCTTATTCCCCACCTCAAACCTGTCTACCATATTTGTAACAAATGGGAAATACAGTCTTTGCCCTTGAAGAACCAACTTTTGGCAAGGAGATTGTACAATGGCCACAGAAAGCACTAAAGAGCAGTGCAAGAAGGCACAGAACAGATGCAGAGCAGCTCTCTTCCATATCCTTAGAGTTTTTGCTGCTATTTCCTAAGCTTTCTCTGTATCTGCTGAAAACAGAGCATGAGACTTGGTGAGCTTGTGGAAGTTTACCCCTTAGCTTTCATTATTATGCTTTTGGAATTCAGTGTTGCAGTAACACATTAAGCTCCAAATGGTGCATTATTAGCATTAGGTAGAATTACAGAGCCAAGTGTGAACTAGCCTGGGATAAAAACCCTTTAATTAACAAAAGCCAAGCTGCCCCAAGACCTTGCAATTATATTGTATTTTCTGCAAGAAATCAGTAATAATTTAGGCAATTGATGTAGAATATGAATGGTTTTATGTCATTATGGAGCTATGATACATTTTAGATATTTGCATTTAGAACAGCATTAGTATTTTCAGCTATATCCTGTAGGCCAAGATGAATTTACAGTTTTCTCTGCTGTTCTCATTGTTATCTTCCTTATTCTTAAGCTTTTAGATCTATTTGTTCTTTTGACAGTGTATTTTACGTACTTTTCCCCATACTACTTCCTAGATGATAATGTGATCTTTTCATCTGTACAGAACCTCCTTATTGTATTCTTTTTTTCCTGATTCTTTTCCCAACCCATCTGAGTTTTGAAAATTGTATATGGTTGTTAACCACCAGCATAATCAAGATACAGAGCATTTCCATCACCCCAGAAAGTTCTCTTGTGCCCCTTTACAGGCATTCCCCTCCCTTTCTGTCACTATAGTTTTGCTTTTCCTTAAATTTCTTAGAAATATGGCCATACAGCATTTAGTCTTTTATGTCTGGCTTTGTTCACTTTGCACAATGTGTTTGAAATCCATGTTATTACATGTCTCAACAGTTTGTTTCTTTTTAAGATTTTATTTATTTATTCATGAGAGACACATGAGAGAGAGGCAGAGGGAGAAGCAGGCTCCCTGTGGGGAGCCCAATGCGGGACTCAATCCCAGGACCCTGGGATCATGACCTGAGCCAAAGGCAGATGCTCAACCACTGAGCTACTCATGTGCCCATAACAGTTTGGGTTTTTTTATTGGTGAGTAATTTTCAAGTGATTTAATTCTGTTGCAGGTGGATAGTGTGGTGGCTGCTGAGTATGAGCTGGAGTACCTCTTATTAGAAGGTCACTGCTATGACATCACCACAGGCCAGCCCCCACGAGGACTGCAGTTTACATTAGGAACTTCAGCCAACCCAGTCATTGTGGATACCATTGTTATGGCCAATCTGGTAAATAAGCAGTACATCACGTGGTGGTATTGAGTCATATTAATTTGGACACTACGATTTATGATGAAGGAGTTTGTAATGTGAACATGAGGGAGATTAAAATCCATGTTCGACTGAATTGGGTCAATATAAAAATTATAAGTTAACCTTGTAGGTCAGAATTACATGTCAGCCTAAAAAAAATGCTAGAATATTCTTAATATTCTTTTCTAAGTAAAGTGGCCCCTGCAAATAAATTGCTTATGAGCTGACAGTGTTTTTCTTGGCTTTGAAGGTTTGTAGCTTATTCACACATGACACATTGATCCTTCACTCACAGATCAAGAACCCCCTTCTTGGCTTCACTGGCCTGTATTTTGCTAGTGTTTCTAATGTGTAGGGTTTTGTTTGTTTGTGTGTTGTTTTTTTAAAGAATTGCACCGAAATTATAACTATCCTTCGAAAACAGTATTGTGATATTTCAAAGAGAACTAAAATTTGTTTTTCTTCTTGCTGTAGGGCTACTTTCAGTTAAAAGCCAACCCGGGAGCTTGGATTCTCAGACTAAGGAAGGGTCGTTCTGAAGATATTTATAGAATCTACAGGTAGGATTAAGTGATGTAGGTGCTGTTTTTCCAGAACATTTTGTAAAGAATCAGCTTGAATTGAGTACTACACTGACAGCCAGGGAATAAGGATTTAATTTATGTATGATGAAACAGTGCTATTCTAGAAAATTGAGTATAGAAGAACTGTCAGGGTATGATAGGGCAATAACTGGTGTTAAATACTAGGAAGTATAGTCAAATTTCACTCTTTAGTCTTTCCTTTGTGCTAATAGCATCTTTGAATCAGATCATTTTCTCACTGCAATGAAAACCATAGGCAGATGAAAAATTGAGTCATTTCAAGAAAGGAAAGAAAAAATGAATAACAGATTTTTCTACCTAGACAGTGTATTTCTGGACCCTGGGTGAATTGCAGATACACAGTAAGTATAAGCTTTGGCCATGAAATCCATAGTACTGGCACTGGCTTTCCCAGGCTGTGGGAGTATGGAAGTATGTCAGAGCATTTCGTTGGTTAAAGGTTTTTGCCTTGAGATTTGCTCTGACTGCCTATTAGTTTAAAAAAATTATACTGCCTTTTAAAAGGTATAATCTAAATTCTTCTTAACACAATTTAATTTTAAGCTATGTGAAGAGAGTTCATGTCAATTTTTTAGGGAGTGATTCCCATTACAGTGTATTTAAAATATTCTCTTGTGTCATCTTCTATAGGATCTTTAGAGCAGTGTGGATTTTTGAACCTGTGTTATAATAACAGATTCATTGTAAATACCAGGTTTTCTTCCAAATAATGTTTTCTAAATATTGTTTTGTAGAATTTAATCCCATCATTAGAAGTTTTACTTGTTTTTCTTCTAAACTTTGTCCCTTTGTTTTCCTGGCTACTCTTTGCCTTCCTTAGCAGTGGGGAGTCCTCCTTTCTTCCTACTGTCTAGGGCTCCCTTTATCTTGGATATTCTCAGATTCTGGAGTATTTAATGTTCCCCCATTAGGAGTATTTCATGTTCCCCCATTAGAAACTTACCTTGTCTGAGAACTCTGCTCTCTGCTGGATTACAGTGAATGAATACAGTGAGTTCATATTTTGTTGTGGCTTTCTGCACTTAACACCTTGAAAATTGGTGCTTGGAAATTTTAGGCATTGCAGTTGATTGGGGATATCTTGTTTTTAATTATAAATATTTCTTCCTCTGCCGAAGCTCTGCCTGCAAATAGAGCTTATTATAGTTCTTTCTCCAGAATATGAGCACCAGATTGAGTACAGGGCCTACAGTTGGCTGGTTGTGTGCCTCTAGGCAAAAGGATAGAGTAGATAGATGCCTGTACAGAACTCTGAAGTAGAGTCATGCTTTATTTGTCCATGAAAGAGTAGAGTAATGTGTTTCTAGTGATGGTTCAGAGTGGCTCATGCCCCTGGGCACTCCTTTATTGCTGGTACTGAGCTTGGCTCAGACTTTGTGAATATAGGCCTTGATTAAGTGCTCATCATGAGCTTGCCAGCACTGGCAGCTTTTCACTCTGTGAAAGGTAATTTAAAGAGGAGACTCAAGAAGGAGGTTTGGGTTGTGACTGATTAGAATGCTCAATGTTTGAAGGATAGAGATTCTGACAAAGTGCTTCTGTGTAGCTTGAAGGGGCTTCCTACAGGTTGTGAGAAAATAATTTGTTCTGGAAAACTCCTTTATGATAAAGATGATGGACAAATATGGCAGATTGATGTCAGACCACTTACTGCATTTTGAGAATTGTAATTTGTAATGTCTTACTCTTTCCCTTTTTTTTCTTTCTAAGCCATGATGGCACAGATTCTCCTCCTGATGCTGATGAAGTTGTTGTTGTCCTCAACAACTTCAAGAGCAAAATTATTAAAGTGAAGGTGAGTTTGGTAATGCTAAGGCAGCCACTCTTTTATAGTGGGTAAAGGTGGCGATATTCTGGCATTCAATAGCTCTTACCTAGAAATAGATGGATGTGATAACTGATAATGCTATCACCATGGTCATCGTTTTACAATATATATGCATATCAAATCATCACATTGTACACCTTCAATTTATATAATGTTGTTTGTCAATTTGATGTCAGTAAAGCTGATGGGGGAAAAAATCCAGCTTAAAACTTTAATTCACCCTTTGGAGTTTTATAGTGTTTATAGGAATGCCTTTTCTTTTCTTTCTTTTTTTTTTTTTCCCCTGAGAGAGAGCATATGCAGGGTAGGGTGGTAGGGATGGGGAGAGGGAGAGAGAGAGAGAGAGAGAGAGAATCCTAAGCAGGCCCCATGCCCAGTGTGGAGACCAATGTGGGGCTTGATCTCACAATCCTGAGATCATGATCTGAGCCAAAATCAAGAGTCAGACACTTAGCCAGCTGAGCCACCCACGTGCTCCAGAATACTTCTTTAAATGTAAAATGTCTTTTGTAAATATACATTTGTGGCTTTCTTCAACTGAGAGATGGCACCTTTTGGGAAATCTCAGTGAGAAATATCAGTCTCATTTTACATAAAGTGTTTTCCTAGATATGATTTTGCTTACATAGCCATAGTTCACATTATTGTTCATGACTGTTCTCAAAAAATTGAGAAGAAAATTTCAATGACAGGGATCCCTGGGTGGCGCAGCGGTTTGGCGCCTGCCTTTGGCCCAGGGCGCGATCCTGGAGACCCGGGATCGAATCCCACATCGGGCTCCCAGTGCATGGAGCCTGCTTCTCCCTCTGCCTGTGTCTCTGCCTCTCTCTTTCTCTCTCTCTCTCTGTGACTATCATAAATAAATAAATTTAAAAATTTAAAAAAAAAAATTTCAATGACAGTAATAAGTGGTAGCCCTCTTTCATTTCTTTTCACTTAGAATTTTGAAGTTCTTAGTGCCTTAAATTCAAGTAAAAGGTATTATGGAATAAATAATCATTATACACAGTAAAATGTAAGGCAGACCATACACGGTGGAGCAGAAAACTGGTCTCTGCTGGTGAGAAGATTGAACCTGTCTTTATCCTGGTAAATCCTGAAAACAGGCTGTGACATAAAGTGACTTCTTCCTGACCATGCAAATGCCAACTGCACTCTTCCCCTGCAGCCAGCTGTCAGCTTGGTGAATGAGGCTTCTAATTTTGCTCAGATTCTGTTTCCTACACAGTAGAATTTGAGGTTCTGTGACCATTTTTCAAAGTAAAAACAAATTAAAAGAGGTTGCTGTCTTGTCACCTGAGGCTTTGGTATGATATGTTGAAGATGGTTCTGTTGAATTCATCTGTACTCCAGGTGGGTTGTCTGCTTGTGGGAGAATTCATTCCCTGTTGTTGATGGCACTCCTCGCATATGGTTGCAGGTTCAGAAAAAGGCAGACATGGTGAATGAAGACTTGCTGAGTGATGGAACTATTGAGAATGAATCTGGATTTTGGGACTCCTTCAAATGGTAAATTGGCATCATTAAAAAAAAGTAAGATTTTTTAAGGAAAGACTGAGATATGACACCATCCCTCCCTTCTTTTGAGTATAAGAATCCCATCTGAGAAGAAATGTGTGGGAAATATCAGAAAGGGAGACAGAACATAAAGACTCCTAACTCTGGGAAACGAACTAGGGGTGGTGGAAGGGGAGGAGGGCGGGGGGTGGGGGTGAATGGGTAACGGGCACTGAGGGGGGCACTTGACGGGATGAGCACTAGGTGTTATTCTGTATGTTGGTAAATTGAACACCAATAAAAATAAATTTATTATTAAAAAAAAATAAGAATCCCATCTGGGCCTTTCAGCGTCTACACTCTGCCACCAAATCTTCTGCTTCTCTTTAGAGTAGATGTGTGTTTTCCACTGACAAAGTGAAGGAGCCTAATGTCCCCTTGTGGGGAGGTTACTTCCTGGCTCTCGTTGCGTTGTGCCTGTCCTTCCATTGAGCAGATCACATTCTGTGGAATCACCTGTGTTCAGTCTGTCCCTGAAGCTACGTGGTAGCCTGCAGGCAGCATCCATCTCTTTACCCTGTGGTGGCTTGGTTGCCTTATGCCCTCTCCGGGTGCCAGCAGATGCTTCACCGGCTCCTCCTGCACCCCCACTCCCCCAGGAAAGGAACTGGAATGGAAAACACCATCTTTGTAGCTCTTCCCTTAAAGGGCTATGTGTCTGTACTAGCATTTCAAGTGTTCTTGTTTTTACCTTTATTATTATAGGGGCTTTACAGGAGGACAGAAGACTGAGGAAGTGAAACAAGATAAAGATGACATAATTAATATTTTCTCTGTGGCATCTGGTCATCTCTATGAGAGATTTCTTCGGTTAGTCATGTTGATTATTTCAGTATATACCAATGAGTTTGTCACAATATTCTTATTTAGAGAATGTTTTATGGGATTCTGTCTATTACGTTTCTGTGTATCTGAAGCACTCTGAAGATTGTGAATATATCATTGTTTTGATCTGCTAGTCTCATAAAGTCTGGCTGTATCATAAATGCATCTTTGTGGATATTACAAGACTATAAACGTTTAATACCACTATGCACACATTATAAATAATTGGCCCCCAAGCATTGCTTAAGCCAGAAATTAGGAGGTTAACACAGAGAGTAGAAGTAGAATAGGGCCTCCAAAGATGCATAGGAGTTTGGAGCCAGGAGTGATCTTAGTTCTCACAGAACACCTTTGTTTTATAGACATATTCAGAGGGTAAAGGGAGGCCTGAGGTCACCCAGCTAGAGCCACAGGGAAGTCACAGCCTTGGGCTGGTTGATGCAGTGGTGGCCAGGGGAAGGTTTGGCTGTGAATATGCTCCTTTACTTGAGGGAGTTTCCTAATGCCAGGGTTCACTTTACTTTTAACTTTCCGTGACAAATCTACTATGGAAAAGAATTAAACTATCATGTTAATCAGATTCAGCCCTCCCATTTCCAAGAAATAACTGACCTAAAATAGTTATGTCAAGTGTTAGTAATAATTTAATTAAGTTCCTTGACTCAGTTTGTTTTTGTCTGTTTTCAAAGTAGGAAATCATGACGCTGTTGCCATTTGCCCAGCCACACAGAGCTGCTGCCATTTGCCATCCCCTGTCCTCTCCCTGTTCTCTTTCCTGGCGGGGTCTCTAATAGAGGCTGTGGGGGGCATGCAGCCACACAGAGCTGCTGTGGCCTTACAGGTTTTCTTTTCAGAGTCCTGTAGTGAGTTTACCACAAACTTTGTTACTTATTTGTACCATAATTAAGACAGCAGTTCATGAAGCAAGTATATTTAAAGAATGTAACATGATTAAAACATTTGTCTTTATCAGATATATTTTTATGGGTGAGAAATACTCTTTCTTTTCCATCCATTGATAACCTTATAATAGCTGCAGTTTTCCATTTTCCATTAGTAAAGGTCTCTCTTTGCCATCAGTCTGCTCTGCCATGGAGAACACTTAATGGTTTCATGATTGACTCTACTTGATTTTGTTGACATTAAAAAGCATTGAAAGATTATCATTACTATTTGCTTTTGTTTGACAGTATAATGATGCTATCAGTACTGAAGAATACTAAGACTCCTGTGAAATTCTGGTTCTTGAAGAATTATTTGTCTCCCACATTTAAGGTTTGTTTCTCAGGGGGAAGGAGAAGATTCTTGTTAAGGAGATATGAATGGAATAATATACTTTTTACTGCTTCTATGTTATTTGTATGATTAAAAAATTTTCCTTTTGATTAGGTTTCCTTAATTCAGTTGCATATATTTTTAAAATTATTTATCTTAAGTGATCTCTACATCTAAAGTGGGGCTCAAACTGGTGATCCTAAGGTCAAGAGTCACACACACTTCCGACTAAGCCAGCCAGGCACCGCCAGTTGCATATTTCTGTGTTCATTGCAGACTGGATTATTTTGGAGGAATAGTTGTTATGATACCAAACACAAAATTCTGACCTTTTTGAAGCTTGGATAACATTGGAGGAGAATCTTTTGTGTTGATGAAATAACATTCTCTTCCTCTGAGCACATATATTATAAAGCACAATTAAGAAAGCATAGTGCTGGTTTCCTTTTTTTTTTTTTTTTTAAATTTTTTATTTATTTATGATAGTCATACAGAGAGAGAGAGAGAGAGGCAGAGACACAGGCAGAGGGAGAAGCAGGCTCCATGCACCGGGAGCCCGACGTGGGATTCGATCCCGGGTCTCCAGGATCGTGCCCTGGGCCAAAGGCAGGCGCCAAACCGCTGCGCCACCCAGGGTTCCCTTAGTGCTGGTTTCCAGTGAGGATGATTCATTCTATCATGAGCAACTAACTACCCACTGGTCTCTGGAAGTAATGTTCCCTTATGTGCAAAATGAAAACAAGACTTGGAAAGTTTTCTGCTTTATTTATATTAGTTAGTATTTGTTATCTAAATTGATTTATATATATCTTTTGGTTGTTATTGTTCTATAGAATTTGCTGAACAACTTTTAATGTATTCAGCAGTATCTTTCCTAGATAGGCAATTCGCTTCTGATCCTCTGAAGGTACTTATATTTAGGATCTGAAAGACTTAACATAAATTTGTTCAGAATATTTGGATTGGCCATGTTATTTCCTGGGTTAGGCATAGGTATGAGAAAGGCTTTAAATCAATCCCAAACAATGTTTTACTGAAATCATGTTTTGACAGTTTTTTCCCATAAAGCACACATATAAACACAAAAGCCCTTCATTGAAAGATTTGTCATTTCATGTGGTAATCAGAAGTCATAAAGAAATGGGGGTTTGACACATTATTCTGTATTCTTTTATGTAGTCGTAGGTAAGTCAGGGTCAGATTTCTGTATTAGACTGCTCTTACGGTAAATGTGTTTTACTTGTACCATAATCATGATGACTGATTTACATTATACAGTTGATTTTCTTCATCAAAATAAATGGTGGTTTGTTGTTTCCTATGTCCAAAAATAGGAGTTCATACCTTATATGGCAAGTGAATATAATTTCCAATATGAACTTGTTCAGTACAAATGGCCCCGGTGGCTTCATCAACAGACTGAGAAACAACGCATCATCTGGGGTTATAAGATCCTCTTCCTGGATGTGCTCTTCCCACTAGTTGTTGACAAATTCCTGTTTGTGGATGCTGATCAGGTAAGCTCTCTTATAAGCCAGATATAAACAGTTTGCATTAAGGGCATTAGACTTCCTTTTCATTTTTTAAATGATTTTTTTCTTTGTTTAAGATTTTATTTATTTATTCACAAGAGACACAGAAAGAGAGAGGCAGAGACACAGGCAGAGGGAGAGGCAGGCTCCCTCTGGGGAGCCTGATGTGGGACTTGATCCCAGGACCCCAGGACCACGACCTGAGCCAAAGGCAGAGGCTCAACCACTGAGCCACGCAGGTGCCCCTATTTTTCTAGTTACAGAAAAATACATGCTTATGATACATTATTTTAGGATATATGGAAAGTGACACCCAAATGTGATCATCTTTAAAGTTTGCATTTGATCTATCTCCTTTTCATCTTTTTTTTAATGCCTCTTTTGCACAGTTGTGATTACATCATGTATGCAGTTTTGTTTCTTACTTTATTTAACTAAAAACTAAACTAAAACTAAAAACTGGAAGATTGAGGTTTAACAGTACTTGCAATTATCTCCAATTTTTTACCCAAAAGCTAGGAGTTGTTGACATGGTTAAGAGAGGGGAAGCTCTAGTTGATAGATGCTTGGCCTTGATAATTTGGAAGTCTTCAGCTATTCTTCCCCGTGTCAAGATTTGACCTAAAAGGAACACACTTTGGTTTTAAAACCTACAAACTCAAAAAGTGTGATTATAATTCTCCTTTACAGCCTTCCCCCTTACCCTGATCTGGCTGAAATCTGAGGTAATCATCTGAATGGAAGTGATATATAATATGTGTAAAAGCTACACGGCCAGAAACTTCATCTACATCTTTGGAATTACCTGCCTCATCTGGCTCATGGTATCACAACTGGCTAGACCTGAAGCATGCTTTCTGGATTCTGATATAAGCACACTTACTCTTTATTGAGTACTTGATATGTGTCAGACATCTTTCCACATTTGTCCATAAATTGATTAACGTAATCCTGTGGGGTCTCCATTTTACAGATGAGGAAACTCAGTCATAGAGAGGCTAAGTAGTGTAAATTTGTTTTATTTCTGTCTTTTTGAATACTTAGAATACTGTGTGCCAGGCACCATACAAAATATCTTACATGTTAGTGATGGCAGTCAGCTAATCAGTAAGAATCTGGGTTTAGACTGAGTCTACCCATAGACCCTGTGCTATTAACCTCAGAGCTACCCTCTGTAATGTCTCAGTGAGGTAGTCTGTATTTTTTTTTTTAAGATTTTATTTATTTATTCATGAGAAACACAGGGAGAGAGAGGCAGAGACACAGGCAGAGGGAGAAGCAGGCTCCACACAGGGAGCCCGATGCGGGACTCGATCCCGGGACTCCAGGATCACGCCCTGGGCCAAAGGCAGGCGCTAAACCGCTGAGCCACCCAGGGATCCCGGTAGTCTGTATTTTAAAGAAACTGCTGTCTTTATGGCTGTTTAACAAATGACTTGTGGGGCATCTACATGTCTCAGTTTGTTAAGCGTCTGACTCTTGATTTTGGCTCAGGTAATGCTCTCATGGTCATGAGATGGAGCCCTGTGTTGGGCTCTGTGCTGGGCGTGAAGCCTGTTGAAGAGTCTCTCTCTTCCTTTCCCTCGCCCTTTGTATCTCTCTCTCTTGCATTCTCTGTTTCTCTCTCTCCCTTTCCCCTTTACCCCTACCCCTTTTCTCTCTCTTACCTTCTCCCTCTCCTTTTCTTCCTCTAAAACACTCAAAACAAAACAAAACAAAAAAAACCAAATGACTTGGGATCTTCTTTTCTCCAGATTGTACGAACAGATCTGAAAGAGTTAAGAGATTTCAACTTGGATGGTGCTCCTTATGGCTATACTCCCTTCTGTGATAGCCGGAAAGAAATGGATGGCTACAGGTTCTGGAAATCAGGGTACTGGGCCAGTCATTTGGCTGGGCGAAAGTATCATATCAGGTATTGAAAAAGCGATATTCCTAATGCTATTTGATTTTCTTTTCTTAAAAAATTTATTTTGCGTATTAGAAATTGTGAGTAGGTAATAAATTAATATGGTTCAGAAATAAAAATTATAAAAAATATGTCATGAAAAAGAATCTTCCCAGTCCTTTCTGTCTTCTAGTCAGTTCCCACTTCTATAACAGATAACCTCTTCTATTAATTTATATATATCCTTCCAGAACTTAGTTCTTACATAAACAACTAGACTTCTTTTTTACACAAAATAATACCATCATATTTACAGTTTTGTGCCTTGTTTTATTTAATATCTCTATTACATCTTATGTCAGTGAGTTGAGAGAGACCTTCCTTTACATCTACATATGATTCCAGTAGATATATGTTTTTTATGATCTTTTGCTGTGGCATATGTTGTTGCAGTGAATAATTAGGTACATCACTTAGTATATTTCAGACATATCTGTAGGACAGAATCCTAGAAGTAGAACTGCTAGAACAGACTGTGTAATGTTACATTATCTGCTCTGGGCCGGATGTGGTTTAGAAGATCTGGAAGGTCAGGGGATGTGTAGGTAGCAGCATTTACAGAGATATTTATCTCTGAGGTTTGGTGATTTATCCTTAGTTATGTTCTTGGTCCAGAAGATCCATAACACTGTGGGGATTTTTTCCTGCAACATTTAAGACATCAGGGTATCTTTGATGATTAGCTTTTATTACTTTATCTGCTGACATTTCATAGAAGTTGTCTTTTGTCAGAGATTTAAGGCAGCTAAGTAAGGAAGATAGTTGAATAAGGAGGAGTGACAAAGTGAGCTTGTGATGGCAGAATATGGATTTTGCAATAATTTCCTGAGCATCTTTGAAGAGGCACGTACTGACCCTGAGCTGTACCATGAGGCCATAGTTCACTTTTTCAAAGAGAGGCCAGGATGTTTACCTGGTGACTGTTATTTAGTGAGGTTACTTTTGATGCCACAATCCATGGTTATAACAAGTAGTTCTTCTCTATCCAGTGCACTGTATGTCGTGGATCTGAAGAAGTTTAGGAAAATAGCTGCTGGTGACAGACTCAGGGGACAGTACCAAGGTCTGAGTCAGGATCCTAACAGCCTCTCAAATCTTGATCAAGTAAGTGGCTATTTTTTTGGTTAATACTTTCAGTGATGGGTATGCAGTATTGTGTCAGGAATTATTTTCCTCTCTGTTCTCTCCTCTGTTAGGACAGTGTTTTGTTTCTTCGTGGAAAGGAATTGTGCAGTGTGTGCGTGTGTGACATTTTTATCTCTCCTGAAAGATGTCATAGTCATAGATGTCATAGATGTTGGTTTGGAAGGGAGATAGAAGGATGATGCGGCCTCTTCAAACCATTACCATATTTTTTAATATTGTACCCACGGTAATCTGATAAATTTGTTTCTTTGCCTGCTAGGAGCAATTTGTTTCTCTTTAGGAGCTAATTAGCAAGGATTCACTGTATCTAGTCTCACAATTTCAATTTCCCTTTTTTCTATGTCAAAAACCATGGGTTTTCTTAAGTTTAGCCAAATCAGTGCATTAGCTAAATATTTTTCAGAAGTGAGTTTATAGTTTGTTTTAGATACCTAGTTTCACATATTTTGTTTTGCATAAGTCTGATTTAAACATGTTAAAGCCTTTATTGTGATATATAGCATCTATGAAAGAAAGCATACAAAACAAAAATATACCAATATGTACATATTCACATGCATTAATTTCTTTGTGGAAATGCCTGTATGCCACCATCCAGTTCAAGAAATAGAACATTGCAAAAAAAGAAAAGAAAAAAGAAAAGAAAATAGAACATTGCTAACATCCCAGCAGCCACCCTTCTTCTCTAACAAAGGTGTCCAGCATCCTGACTTTTGTGGTAATCACCTCAATGCTTTATTTCTAAATTATTGCTTTAACATGTATCCTTAAATACTATAGATTGGTTTTGAATGGTTTTTTCCTCCCTACCTCAGTATCTTAAAATATGCACTCTTCTGAGCTAATTTCTTTTGTTCAACATTATGTCTGTACAATCCATCCATTTTGTTGTGTGTAGTGGTACAGTGCTTTGTTTATCCAATATTTGGGTTGTTTTCCATTTTTTGTCTTCCATGGATAATGCTGCTGTGATCATTCATGCAACTGTCTTGATGCACATGTACACATATTTCAGTTGTGTGTACAGCAACACATGGAATTACCAAGTCATCAGATTAGTGTATTTTTCTTTATTAGATTATCCTAAACAGTTTTCCAGAGTAGTTGTAATTTATGCTCCCACTAGCCATGTAAGAATTCCTATTGCTCATGTTTGACCAGTATTTATTGTCAGTCTATTAATTTGGTATATGTGAATCATTATCCTATGTGACTTTCATTTGGAGAGTTTTTTATGTTTATATTTAATATAATCATTAGTGAAGTAGAATTTACATCTGCCATTTAAATTTCCTTGTTACCTTTGCTATGTATTTTTGAGTTATTTTCTCAGTGGTTGTCTTGATGACTATCATTAACACTTTAACTTATGACAGTTTTTTAAGATTTTATTTATTTATTCATGATAGACACAGAGAGAGAGAGAGAGAGAGAGAGACGCAGAGACACAGGCAGAGGGAGAAGCAGGCTCCATGCAGGGAGCCCGATGCAGGACTTGATCCCGGGTCTGCAGGATCACACCCCAGGCTGAAGGCGGTGCTAAATCGCTGGGCCACCGGGGCTGCCCACTTATGATAATTTAGTTTGAGTTACTAATTACTTAATTTCAGTAGTATTCAAAAACTTTGTTCCTAAATAGCTGTGTTCCCCTCGTCCCCATACTTTATTATCATACAATTTTTATGTTTATACATCATATGCTCACCAACACAGATTTATAATTATTACTGTTTGGAATTGTTTTTAAATTGGGGGGGCAGGAACTCTTCATAAGAAATACATTGATATTATCTTTTATATTTACCTACATACCTTTACTGCTGCTTTTTATTTTTTCACGTGGATTTGAATTATTGTCTAGTGCCCTTCCGTTTCAGCCAGAAGACTCCCTATAATCTGTCTGATAGGATAGCCCTGGAGCTACAAACTCTTGAAGAATGTATAATTTTCTCCTTCATTGTTTTTTGATGAATAATTTTGCTAGATATAAAATTCTTGCCTGACAGTTTTTTTTTCCCCTTCTCATGTTTTTCTTTGAATCTATTGTTCCACAAATTCTTGGCCTCCATATTTTGTGATGAGAAGTTAGCATTAATCTTGAGAATCCCTTACCTGACAAGTCACTTTCTCTAGTCTTTTCTTTTGATGGTTTAATTATGATATAACTAGGTTGGATCTCTTCTGAATTTATCCTGTTTGAAATTCATTGAGCTTGTGTAGATTAAGATTTTTCACCAAATTTGGAACATTCTGTTTCTTTAAGTATTATTTCTACCTCTTTCTCTCTCCTCTTGGGACTGCCATTGTATGTGTTCATGTATTTATTTGATGGTTTCCCACAGTTCTCTGAGGCTCTGTTTAGTTTTCTTCATTCTTCTCTCTGCTTCTGGATAATCTCAAGACTGAATAATATCAATTGATTTATCTTCAGTTGACTGATTATTTTTTCTGCTGCTCAAATCTGTGGTTAAACCCATCTAGCAAATTTTCATTTAAATTATTGTTTTCCAGCAGTGTATTTCCTGCTTGGTTCTTTTGTATAATTTGTATCTCTTTATTATCAAATTTTTGAAACATCATTCTCATATTTTCCTTTAGTTCTATTTAGACATGGTTTCTTTTGTCCTATTTGAACATATTTAAGATACTTGATAAAGTCCTTGTGTTATAAATCCAATGTCTAGGCCACCAAAAGTATAGTTTCTATTGATTGTTTTTTACCCCTGTATATGGGTTTTATATATTTGGTATTTTGCAAGTCTCTTCATTTTTGTTGAAAACCGAACATTTCAAGTAATATAGTGTGGCAACTCTGGAAATCAGACTTTCCCCCTCCCCAGAGTTTGTTGCTGCTTATTGTAGTAGTAGTTGTTTTTGGAGTTCTAAACCATTTCTGTGAAGTCTGCATTTTTGGTTTGCTTGATTAGTTTAGTAGTCAGCTAAAATTGAACAGAGATTTCCATAAGTGTTCAGAACCACTAAGATTTGCATTCTTTGCCATCAGTCTCTGGGTGTATGTTGGAACATGTGCTCAACAGTCTGCTTTTGTTTCTATTTGTTACTGGTCTAGAATTGCAGTTGATTTTTGTATTCAGCTACCCTGCTAATCTTATATACTTTTGTCTTTTCTATATATGTAAGTGTATCATCTACAGATAATGGCTGTTTTACTTTTTCTTTTCCAATCTTATGTTAACAAAAACTTTTTTTTTCTCACTTTCACTATTTATTGGGACTTTTATAATGTTGAATAGAAATGTTGATAGTGGACATTCTTGACTCAAAATGATGAAAGCATTCAGCATTTCACCACTAAGTATAATGTTTGTTGTAGATGTTTTATAGATACCCATTATTCACATTGAGGAAGTTCTTTTTAGTCTTGGTTTGCTACTTTAAAAAAAAAAATCTTTTGTGTTAAATTTTGTTTTGGACATCTGCGATGATATGCTTTTCTCTTTTATTATAAATATAGTTAATTTTATACCTAAACCTAATTTCTGAATTATATAATCAAACTTGATCATGATTTATTATTTTTTTATATAGTCCTGGATTCTGGGGGTAAGTATTTATTTAAGAATTTTGCATTTATGTTTTTATGTGACATTAGCTTATAATATCTCTATCAGATTTTGGTATTGAGACTTAATGAAATGAGTTGGATTTTGTTTTTGTTTTCATTTACCTGTAACTGGTTTGTATAAGGTTGGCCTTATTTCTTGCTTAAATGCTTGGTCGAATTCACTAGTGAAGCCTCTAATTTCTTTGTGTTTAAATTATGATTCCAGTTTCTTTAATAGTTATGGGACTGTTGACATTTTCTATTACTTCTGTTATCACTGTTTTTGTTGTTTCTAAATTTCCTTAACATATTGTCATGAAATTGCTTTTACTATCCTTTCATTTTAAAAAACAATATAATTTATATATAGTGAAATGCTCAGATTTTAAGTACACTGTGTAATTAATTTTCTGATGATACACATAAGAAAATGTATATCCAGAGCCAGAATGCTTCCATTACTCCAGTTATCATTTTTAAAGTCCATAGGATCTATACTGGTATCTTCTCTTTCTCTTTTAAAAATTCCTGACATTGTTTATTGTGCTTTTTTTTCCTTTATCACCTCGCCAAGAATTAAAGAAGCATCTTTTAATGTGTTCCATCCTATCTATATGTTTCTTTTCTATTTCGCTGATTGTTCTTTATTGTTCTTACCTCTTTCTTTTATTTAATTTGATTTTTTTTCCTAATTTCTTGAGATAGGTGTTTAGTTCATAACTTTTAGTCTTTTCTAATATGTACATTTGAAAGGATCAGATGCTACCTCAGCAAAACTTGGTTGCATTCCGCATGTTTTATAGGAGTATTTTCCTTGACATTTGGTCATTTTAGAATTGCTTACATGGTTACTCTGCATTCTTTCCTGCATTTCTGGGCTTTCATATAGGATCATTTTCCTTCTGCCTAAAGAATATCATTTTATTTTCCTTAATGTAAGTTTACTAGTAACAATTTTTTTCTTTTTCTTTTTGTCTGTTAGTGTCTATTGTACTTACATTATTAGGTATAATTCATGTAACATAAAATTTCCCATTTTAATCATTTTTAACTATATAGTTTAGTGGCATTAAGTACATTCACACTGTTACAGCTAACCATCTCCAGAGCTTTTTATCATCTCCTCCTGAAACTCTGTAAACATTAGAGGATAACTCTCCCTTCTTTCCTCCCCCCAGCCCCTGGCAACCTCTATTCTATTTTGTATCTGTATGAATTTGCCTATTCTAGATACTTTCAGAATCATACAGTATTTTTCCTTTTTGTGCCTAGCTTATTTGCTTATTTCACTTTGTATACTATTTTCAAGTTTGTCTTCTTTCTTTCTTTCTTTCTTTCTTTCTTTCTTTCTTTCTTTCTTTCTTTCTTTCATTTATGAATGAATGAATGAATGAATGAGAGAGAGAGTCAGATACACAGGCAGAGGGAGAAGCAGGCTCTATGCAGGAAGCCTGATGTGGGACTCCATCCCAGGACTCCGGGATCATGCCGTGAGCCAAAGGCAGATGCTCAACTGTTGAGTCACCCAGGCGTCCCTATTTTCAAGTTTCATCCATGTCATAGCATCAGAATTTCCTTCTTGTTAAGATGGAAGAATATTCCATTTTATATTATATATATATATATATATATATATCCCATATTTTGTATATCTATTCATCTGTTGATGGATATTTGGCTTATTTTCAGCTTTTTGCTATTGTGAATAATGCTTTTGTAAACATTGGCATACAAGTATATGTTTGAGTCCCTGCTTCAGTTCTTTTTTGCATATACCCAGAAGTGGAATTTCTGGATCATATTGGTTGTTTGTTACAAGACAATGGAACACTGAGAACAAAGCTTCAAGGCATATAGTTGACTCAAAAACATGTGAGCTTCGTCCACTTGGGATCAAGCCCCAGGTGACAAGGTGGATTCAGAGCTTCCTTTATACAAAACTGTGAAGTATAAAACCACGCTCTATGATTAGTTAACTTTCAAGAGGCAGTAGTACCTTTTCTTAGAATTGTCCTCATGGAGGGAAGTCTAGGTGCAGGTTATTTGTGAATTTTAAGCTAAAATTTTTCAGGTGCTTATCATAGGTAGTTTGAGTCCTCTAAACTTTGTGGTTTTAAAAAACATCACAAATATGTTAGCTTCTCTAAGGTTTTTAGTAGACCCTTTCAGTTCTAAAAATTTGTGATTGGTATGTGATACGTAATGAGCAACTATCATCGCTAATTTGCTATTCATTCATTTAAATTTCTCCCAAAACTTTAGATTGTTGTTTTATTTTCTTTTTTACCAAACAGGATTTGCCCAATAACATGATCCATCAGGTGCCAATTAAATCACTCCCTCAAGAATGGCTTTGGTGTGAAACGTGGTGTGATGATGCCTCTAAGAAAAGGGCAAAAACGATAGATTTGGTAAGCTCTCTGTGATTCTTTTCTGCGTCCTAGTCCAGTGTGATTTACAACTAGATCGTTATTAACACAGAGAGAGAGTCTTACTTAGTGTTCTCTGTGGTTTTACAGTTGGGGCACTGCATCTTGTCTTACAGTAACATACATAGATTTCTGCTGCTTGCAGCAGGTAGCCAAGTCCTCTAGTGTCTGATGGGGCTGTTTTCACTAAAACCAGCAAAGTTACTACTTTTCTTACGGATTATCTCTGTGCCTTGTGATTTTACTACAAGAATTTTCTTTTCCTGCTTTCCTGTCACTCCCTACAACTTTGTAGAAGCTTTATGTGACCATGTTGCTTCTGCTCATCTGTCATTTGATTCCTCAGTGTTATTCTTTTTTGTTCAGTTGGGATTTATAACCCAGGAACAGACATACCTTTGAATTCTGGATAATGTGCCCTGTCTTTACCTTGGTTGAAGTATACGATTTGGTTTTTCACAGTGTAATAATCCAATGACCAAAGAGCCCAAGCTGGAAGCAGCTGTTCGAATTGTCCCAGAGTGGCAGGACTACGACCAGGAGATCAAGCAGCTACAGACCCGTTTCCAGAAGGAGAAAGAGACAGGAGTGCTGGACAAGGAGAAGACGACACAAGAGTCACGCTGGGAAGGTAGGTCCAACCTTCGGCCCTAGAGAAGTACTTATTTACGTTCCTGATTTGTGTTTATTGCAGAAACAGAATAATGAATAAAAGGAATCTCAGCACTTCTGTCCTGACGTCAACCAGTATATATTTTTATTTTCCTTTTTTAAATTGGCCTTCTAAATGGTATGTATTACCATTGTAATACATCGATTGTATTAATACAATCACTGTCCTCTTTTCTTTGCCTTTTTATTTATTTATTTATGTTTTTGAGAAAAGGTGCTTTTTTTGACTTGGTTTTGTTTTAAAAGATTTTATTTATTTATGAAAGATACAGAGATAGAGAGGCAGAGACATACGCAGAGGCAGAAGCAGGCTCCCCATGGAAAACCTGTTGTGGAACTCAATCCTGGGGCCCAGGATCACACCCTGAGCCAAAGGCAGATGCATGACCACTGAGCCACCCAGGCATCCCAAGAAAAGGTGCTTTAATTGAGATTATTGTTAGGTAGGCCTATGAGTTTTGTGATACATAAGACAAGCAGGGAGTCTTCTGGTGTGTTGTTGGCCTGTTTAGGCATAAGGTTCTAGGTCCTTCCCTCTATCTGACAAGCCCAGTGTTATTTTGGGGATCTCTTGTCTTATTCCTTGGCTTTTTATTAAATCTCTCCAGGCACTAGTAAATGAACACATCTAGGATCAAGACAAAGCACATATTGATGTGAAAAAAAATACTCTTTCAAAGAAGCATATTAGGGTGGAGGATAGAGTGTTTTTATTTAATTTAGGCTAAGAATAGAGGGACTAGGCTAAGATAGAGTGTTTTTATTTAATTTAGGCTAATTTAGGCTAAGAATAGCCGGGACTAAATGTTCATGTAATATTTTCCCTATGCTATATACATCTCAAATGGTATGCAGTTGGCAAAAATCATTAGAATACAAAAGTGACCTTTTGTAAACTATTAATAAGCTGAGATCTGGATTTTAAACATTTATTCAGCTCAAAACTAACTAAAGATCAATTACAGAACATGGATCTTGAGTGATTCACCCGAACATCCTGAAGGCTGTACCATGATGTTAAGTATCACGGCCGAGAGGCTGGATATTCAGCATAAAAATAATTAAAATTCAGTAGTGAAACCTAAAGGATTTCTGTCGATATGTAGATAAAGAATGTAGACAAACTGTTCAAATAAGAGAAGAACACAAATAATAAGTGAAGTTGAGGAAACAGTAATCACATTAAAGGAATCTGTCATTAAAATATATACTCCATTGAAAAAATATGTATATTGTTTCTGATAATGCCCTTTGTTGGTTGGGAGATGGTGAAGAAACTGCTCTGGGTCTACCTTGCTGGAGCTTTGTATATTAGAACAGCCCTTATTAAAAGCAATAATAAGGTGCCTGAGTGGCTCAGTTGGTGAAGTGTCTGACTCTTGATTTTGGCTCAGGGTTGTGAGATCGAGCCCACTGTCAGGCTCTGTGCTAGGTATGGAGGCTGCTTAAGATTCTCTCCCTCTCTCTCTCTGTGAGCTCCCCTCTTACCCTCTATTAAAAAAAGGAGGGAGATAATAAATTGGCTGTCAGAAACCATTAACATGTTTATTCCCTTGATAGTTCCTTTCTTGAGAATTTACCTTAAAGAAATAAGTCCACACAAGAAAAAAGTCATATACATGGAGAAATATATTATTTATAAACCAAAAGCATTAAAAACAGTTTAAACATCCAAGAGCTGCACTTTACTGTATAAAGTACATGAGCTGCACTTTTACTTAGGAAAATGTTTACATGTTAAGTGAAGAAAGAAGAATCCTGACTAAAAATATGTGCGTTTTTACCAGAAGTAAATATTGTATTTGTGAAAACAGTTCTGCTGGAGTAGGAGTATGCAGGTAGTGTCAGTGTTTTTAAAACCAAAAAGATCTTTATTTCTTTTTCAAAATACAATACACCAAACCAGAGCTCCTAAAAATTTTAAAAGAGAGATAAAATGGAGGTGGGGCTGTAATTAATAGGTTATAATACCAGAAAAGAAATCCAGTCTGTATTTTTGTAACTTAAAGATTGAACCATTTTATTTTCAATTGTCCTCTTTTTCCATAGGACCTCAGAAACGAGAAGAGTTATGATCTTCATTCACAAGCAGATAGGAAATTACACCATTTGAAAAACACTTTTTATATTAAATGCTAGTTTTTTTCTGATCTGTCTCTACAACTGCTGATAAACTGGCTGGGCAGGTGTGCCACACCTTTTGATTCTGAGCATTTGATTTTGACTTCTGCATACCAGTGGGCTCTGGATTTTTAGAGTTAAGGCTCTATTGGATTTGTACCTCATAGGAAGACAAGTGACTGATCTTTCGAGACTCTGTAAAGAGCAGTCTTCTGACCAGAAGGGAAAATGGCAAAGGCAACTGGAAGAAAATGAGTCCTGTGGTGACCACACCCAAGAGCACACACATGCTGCATCACCACAGGAAGCCAACCAGCCAGAGCAGCCACGTTCTTCCTTACCTCAGTTTACTGGCAGTGGAGCTCAGTCTGCAGTCTGCACTGTGGTGGCAGAAGCTTCTGTGTGGCAGAAGCTTTGTGCAAGGTTCACACACCTTGAGGTTTATGCCAGTGTGCTCCTGTGTCCTTTTGTTCTCTTCTCCAGCATTAAGTTGTCTAATTGAAACCCAACCAACAATCATGTGTCTTTGGAGTTGGCTCGGGACAGATTAATTTGGGGACAGGATGGGGTGGGTTGGGGTGAAGGTGGGGAACATAGCAGAAGTAGGAGGACTCTGGGGTGTTTGAGGGGAAATGAGGAAAACAGAAATTGACCATTCTCTTTTATAAACCATCAGTACCATGTGACTAATTTGAAATGAAAACATGATTCTTAATCCCCTCCCAACCCCAGTAAACTTTTTAGATAATTGTTTTGTAAACAATTTTTGTATTTGTGAAGGTCTGCTTTTTCTTCCCACTTTCTAAAAAAAAAAAAAAAAAGTCTGTTATGATTTCCTTACTGGATACAGCCATAGCGAGCCCCTCTGGTGATCCATCTCGCAGGGCTCAGGGCTCCCTCAGAAAGGTCATTGCATCATTCATCCCTCTGCTTCCTGGGGAAGGGATTGTCTCTTTCAGACCCAGGCAAAGCTGGCTTGACTTCTCTGTGAGGAAATCCCAGAGCTGAGAACAGGAGAGATGTTGAACTGGAGAGATGTTAATTTGTTTCTCTACACTGTTCTATATTCCTTTTAGTTGAGCCTGTGGGTTGCCTTTGGTTTGCTGAAATTGCTGGTATGCCACCTCTTCTGATTGCACAAAATCACACCTTGAAGGTGTGTTGGCCCTTTAGTCCCTGCTTTTAGTGTCTTTGCTTTAGCAACCCAGAACAGTCCTTCTGGAAAAGCCTCTCCTGGTAAGTAGACAGTGTGGGGAGGCACCCACAAGGGAGTCTTCTGGTGTGGTGTTGGGCTGCATGGGTGTGAGGCTCTGGGTTCCTTCCCTCCATCTGCCCAGGCTGCAGAGTACAGCAAGCAGCAAGAGTACTCCCATGGGACTGCACCTTCTTCCAGGGCAAACTGGTGTTGTCTCCAATATTTTGCCTGCTTTTTAAAAATGTGAGGAGGGGCTGCAAATGGATAGGAGAATCCTCACTCTTCTAAGCCAGGGAACATTGATTTGCAGTCTTTTTTTAAAAAATCAAGTCTTGTGACAACTACCAAGGAATTTTTTCCATATACACATAAGCAAAAGTTAGCTTAGGAGTCTCTCAGCCTGAAGGAGCTTTTCAGTTTGCTTTTATAATTACATTAAAAATTGGGACGAGGGGAGCTCAAAAGATTTTTATGTAAATTGATCCAAGACTGAAAGATACCTCAGAATCATTTCTTTTTTTTTTTTTTTTTTTTTCTCAGAATCATTTCTGTTGACAAAGGCTGTAGCTTGAGTTCCCCCTGCCCTGCTGCTCACCTGGTCAGAATAGCTAAAGGGATAGAATCAGAGCAAAAAATATTTGTGCAGCTTTGTCTTCAATTTAATTAAGCCTTCAGAGAGGCTTCTGCTCCCGCAGCTTTAGTCTATAACCGTGCACAGAGTTGTGCATTTTCTGAGTTTATTTTCTGGGAGACTGAGCAGGAAATACTAGTCACTGGAGTATGCTTTTTAAATGGTGGTTCCCATGGGACATGGAACAAGCCACCTTTCTTCATGTCTTTCCACCAGGTCTCGTGTGCATATTCCATGTGAGGAAAGTACAGTGTGAAATCTGTTGTCTGTGTAGTATGTGTGTCCTCACTGCCCTTATTCATCACCACCCTAAATGGAAGTTTTACCAGTAGCTGAATCTAAATATGTAAGATCCAGCTTACTTCTGAAATAGTCGAGGGCCTGCCTTCCTTCTCTTGGTTCATGTGTCATCAGCATCTTTCAGGATGAACCTCTGATGCCCTAGAAAGCGATAATACCACTAAAATTTGGTCTTGGTCAGCTTTGTCTATTGTCCTTACTATGTGAAAACAAATTGCGACTGAAAAGATTTTTTTTTCAAGAGGCAAGAGCTGATGGCAATGAAACACACAAGCTTCTGGAAACTTCACAGTGCATTATTTTTAACCATCATTTATTTATATGTAATGGAATTTTTTCTCTTATCATGCCATAATGGGAAATTTTCTTTCTGAATCAGTGCCAGAGTGCTGTAAAATAATGTTACATGTCAGAGTAACACGCAGCAGTGTTTTTATGCTCTATGAGTAGTGGTATTTGATTGAGATCAAACCCATGCACACAGCCTGCTGCTGGAGCTGTTGGGGGCATGCCTATGTTTATTTTAAAATTGTACTCAATCCTTACACATTGAGAATGATGACACATTAGTTTTCCCTAAGGCCGACAAAGTGTAGAATCTCACAATGTGGCATTTCAAATGGAAACGTACAGATGTTTGCCTACCTACTACATGCATATGCCTCATGATACGCCTGTGTGTTGTATGAACTCAGCTCGTGGGAGAGCAAAGATTATCAAATCATTTCCAGGAATAGTGCTTAATGAACTCTCCTGTCCTCAAGTCCTCATATAATGGACTGTGTTGAGGCTCCACTTGAATGAACAGCTTTTGTCTGGTTGCAGGGACTCAGTCCTCGGATGAAGAGTTGAAAGCTAGAGGTGGCGTTACAGTTTTCAGAAGAGACTGGCCCAGGTAATAGGAAGGGAATCCATTTCCTTTATCCGGGAGTTACACTTGAAGGATGCCATAATTTGGAACAAGTCAGACACCACCCTCCTAGCAATGAGTAAAATTATTTCCCTTACCCACATTTCCCCTAGGAGTAAATTTAGGTACTTAAGAGCAGTCCTTTTCTAAAATTGCCATGAATGATTGAAAGAAATAATTCAACTCAAGAGTTATAAGGAAATTTCTAGTGCATTTTTCTGAATATAGTGTTAGTGCTATGGCATCAGATTTCATGGAAATGGAAATGTTTAGGTAAAGTCACCTAATGGAAACTGTTTGTTGGCAACAACAAGTGGAAGGTGCATTGTGTGCAAATGAATTTAAATATCGATTCCATTGTGTAATTTTAATAATTTTTAAATATTTGATTTTATGGAAATACTTTTGTGGGATGATAAGAGTTAAATATAGCTATCATGTCTAGTTTGGTGGGATAACATTTTTTACCTAAATTCATGTTTTCCCTGCCTTGATGTAGTGGTGGAAGATCTCAATCATGACTTTGGTAATTAATTACCTGATTGAATTCAAGCTAATGAGACTTTTTAGCTCAGGTTGTAATCGATATTTCAAACTATCTGGAGGATACCAGTTTTCTCTTTCATTTGGTATTTGATCTCTTGGTCTAATACAGAAACAACACTTCCAGGTAACAGTGTGTCAGTGCATGGAGTAGTGGATCTCTCCTTTCAGGGTGCCATTGGGTGCTGACAAGTTTATAAGAAGAAACTACAAAATCAGCTTCAAGCAGCTGCATGTTCCCCAAAAGTAGTGCCTTTAGGTTGTTTTTTATTGTTTTTTGTTTTTTAGTGCATTAAGTTTAAACTCACTGATCATGATTTTGCAAGCAAGAGGCTATCTCCTGAGTCTTGAATTACCTAGCAACGCAGAGGGCAAATGTGGAGATTTAAGAGGAAACAAGTTAGGGTATGAGTTAAGGCCTTCACCCACCTGTAACTTACGCATTGCCTTACTTGTCACTATTTAGATTTCCAGAGAAGTGGCATAATTCCTCTTCAAAATAAAAGTAGCAAAATCTAAGGTTAAGAATCTGAGAGAAAGATGATCAAGTACCATTTTATCCTTGGTAATAACAAGGTAAACATAGAAAAATGAAAAATGTTAGAATTTTTAAAGAACAGTATGTATTAGAAAACCTTCTTTATAACTTTTGTTTTACTGTAATCTATTCCATCAAATGCAACATTGGCCCAGGTGCTGCCCCTTGCTTGGGAAGAAGCGCTGAGGCTCTAAATGTCTGCAGAGCCCTCTGCACCTGAAGTGAACTGAGAATGAATTTCCTGGTACTGTAATGAAAATAAGGTCTGCTAAACACAATAAACTTTTCCTTGTCTTCTTTAAAACTTTCTGGTTATTCAGCTATTATGTTTAGGAAGAACTGATTTATCAGAATTTAAGGTTCCAACCTTTAATCTGACAGAAGAAGCAGGACTGGACAGGAAGGAGACCTTTATCATAATGTCTCCTCTGGTGTTGGAGCTAGGTGTACTTGTTTCCAATTCTCTGAATTCTCACAGTAGCATCCGTGCCTCTTCAAGTCACCAGCCTTGGGGAACTGCCGTAGGTGGGATCTTGTAGGCCAGTTGCCCTAGGAAGGCTAACCATAACGAGAAGGCATAGTTTGAACATTTTGCACACTCTCTGAACTACTCTGGGGCTAGACTTAAAGATCTGGTTCTTGACACTCAGATGCTCATTGGACACTGCAAGCTAGTTTAACGAGTGCTCTTGCTGAGGTGGGGGTCAAGGAGTGGGACCTGGTGGCTGTGACTGAACAAATCATAGCTGAGAACTTCCCTAACTTGGAAAGGGAAACAGGCATTCAGATCCAGGAGATAGATCCCCCTAACATCAATAAAAACTGCTCAACACCTCTACATTTAATAGTGAAACTTACAAATTCCAAGGATAAAGAGAAAATCCTAAAAGCAGCAAGAGACTAGAGATCCCTGACTTCTATGGAGAGAAATATTAGACTAACAGCAGACCTCTCACAGAGACCTGGCAGGCTAGAAAGGGCTGGCAGGATATATTCAGGGTCCAAAATGAGAAGAACCTGCAACCAAGAATACTTTATCCAGCAAGGCTCTCATTCAAAATGGAAGGAGAGATAAAGAGCTTCCAAGATAGGCAGAAACTGAAAGAATATGTGACCACCAAACAAGCTCTGTAAGAAATATTAAGGGCAACTCTGTAAAAGAAAGAGGGAGCCCAAAGAAATAATCCACAAAAACAAGGACTGAATAGCTATTATGAGGACACTAAATTCATAGCTTTCAATAGTAACTCTGAACATGAATGGGCTTAATGATCCCACAAAAAGATGAAGGGTTTCAGACTGGATAAAAAAGCAAGACCCATCTATTTGCTGTCTATAGGATACTCATTTTAGACCTAGGACACCTACAGCCTGAAAATGAAAGTTTGGAGAACAATTTACCATTGAAATGGTCCTCAAAAGAAAGCAGGGGTAGCCATCCTCATATCATATATATTAAAGTTGATCCCAAAGACTGTAGTAAGAGATGAAGAGGAACACTATATCATACATAAAGGATCTATACAACTAGAGGACCTAACAATCATGAATATTTATGCCCCTAATGTGGGAGCTGCCAAGGATATCAATCAATAACCAAAGTAAAGATATACTTAGATAATAATACACTTA